CAAGACAAAATCCTGCCGATGCCCATGCCTCCGCGGGCGCGATTTCGCGGATTTGGAGGCGCTCGCCAGGGAGGCCCGTACAGTCCAAGCGGGCTTGCTCGCTGAACTGCAATACCCGCCCCCCTCCGACGCCAGAGGAGTCATTAGAGCCTGGTTGTGCTTGGACGGGACGGACCTTAGGCGCTCACGCCGATTCTCGTACACTGTACGTGGCCGTCACGCAGCGTGGGAACGGTGGAACCGTCCCACCTCGGGGTAGGCTGCATGAAGCCCAAGTACACTCTAAAAAACGCCTGTGCGTCTACTTTCCCGCACGACACTCGGAGAGCCTATCACCGCAACTTACGAAGGCAGCTCAGCGAATGACGATGCCGAAACATCTGTTTAGACCAAAAAGCAAAGTCTGAGTTGTGACATTAAGCATTGCAAAACGTCACGCTTGCAATGCATTTTAATGTCACAACTCGTCACAACGTTGTGGCATTTTAACGTCACAACGTTTGCTCATGCAACTCTGATTTGCTCGCATTAAGGATGGAACGGTGTTTAGGATACGTCTCCAACTCCCCGCAGTAAAGCAGTAAAAGTGGAACGAGACGTGTTGTCCCTAGAGCCAGGCACGTAGCCAAAGGGGGGGAAGGGGGGGGGGGGGGGGGGGGGGCAAGGGGCCCGGCCCTATTTCCCCGAAGTCTTTCATTTTGCTGGGGCCTCCTCTCCCCCCTCCCCTCATACAGCATTTTGTCATTGGCGCCCCCCCTTCCCCCCCCCCTTTCCCCCCCGAAACAAAATCCTGGCTACGTGCGTGCCTAGAGCCACTAAATGATCTGCGCCAAGAGTATCGGCACTCCGTTCCCCGACATTGTTGTTGGCGCCGCCATTTTGGTGCTTGCGCGCAGAGCAGACGCAACTGCCGATCGTCATGATTCAAAAGTGCGACTTCCTCAGCATTAGATTCGGTGTTAGGAAGATTATGTAATATTGCTTTGCTCTGTCGCGAACTGTTTCAACGTTTGTGGAGGGCGGAAAAACGTTTCCCGTGACTTCAGATAAAGCTTCAGATAACTGGCAAAATAAGTTACGCTTCAGAGTAACGGCACTTGCCCATATTGTGTCTTAAAATCATATGATTTTAAGACACAATATGGGCAAGTGCCGTTACTCTGAAGCGTAACTTATTTAGTGGCACTATAGTTGTCCCAATCTCGGGAGGGAGAGGCGTCTGCACTCGAGCGCGTCGTGCGTCGGCAGAAAACGGAGGCTAAACGTGCTCATTAGCGTCGCACAAGCGACGGCTGTCCGCGCCGCCCTGAGTCACGCTCCAGGTCCGGCCGCCGTCACTGAGTTCTCCTGAAAGACGCACGTGCCAAGTTCCAAAGACCACGACGACAACTTGATCGCCACCCTGGCTCCCCTCTTGTACCGCGCATTTGTGAACATTGAGAGATGCCTAGCTTGCCATAGCTGTGAAAGTACAGGGTGTCACAAAAGAAAATTGACACGGTCTTTTTTACCGCAAAAATAAACTAGGCATCGCCGAACGCTCATTCTCCGCCCAAAGGTAGAGCTAGAGGTCACAACCAGGTGCCAAAGTTTCAGCCCGATCCGATAACTTAATCAAAAGTTATAAGTGATTTTCTGAAAAGTTCAATGGGAAAATGGAGCCCATTTTTGCCTGTTTTCGGTTTCTGGTGCCATAGAGCCCCATGTGTTCGAAAACTCCGTCGGCCGCCATTTTCCCATTGAAATTTTTAGAAAATAATTTATAACTTTTGATTAAGTTATCGGATCAGGCTGAAACTTTGGCATCTGGTTGTGACCTCTAGAGCTACCTTTGGGCGGAGAATGAGCGTTTGGCGATGCCTAGTTTATTGTTGCGGTTAAAAAGACCGTGTAAATTTTCTTTTGTGACACCCTGTATAATGAAAAGCGTCTACTGCATCGAGAGTTTTTCTTTTTTTTTTCTTAAGGGGGGAGGGAGAGGGGAAAGGGAGGGGGGTGACAAGCGCGATGTGGTCTATATTTGAACCCAGGACATGGTTACCAAAAATCTGACGAATAGTGTAAAATTACGTGTTTTATTTATCCTCTCTTGTTTTACGCTTAGGGATAAAAAACAATATCGCGGCGACGAACATGGCAAAAGTAGCGTTCGCCGGAACAACCTTTTACGGCCAACTTTGCCGTGAAAGATGAAAAAAAATTCCGTTCTTTTAACGTATATGCTTAAATGGTGTTAATGGCAATATAGCACCCTCTGCTTATACCGATTTATGGTATCGGCTCATCAAGGTGTGCAATATCGAGTGCGGACCACTGAACCAGCAATGACTGCAGTATAAAATAAAGAAAAGAAACTAACAAAACAAATTTTGTAGAAAATAAGCCCATCTCATAAAACAAACCGTCCATTAAAAAAAAAAAGTCAATTGAAAAACTTTGCGTCCAACGGTGACTCACGCGATGGCAAGTACTTGAACACCGGCCTTAAAGACGCCATGCTAACTAACTTCCTGCAGCTCGAGTCATTGTGTATAATGGGCGAGTACGGATGGAAGGAGGTGCTGAGCTCGCCGAGCGGTTATGCAAACAACGCGAGACGTGACCTCATTGGAGTGTTTCCGTCTGCCGAAGTCAGTCGACCAGAAACCGTCTCGCACCTTACCGCTGCGCACATTCATCTGAGAGCAAGGCACCGCAGGCTCGCCAAAGATGCCCGTCCACACCGATTCCGTGCGCAGCGCCTACAACAGCGTCCTGGACGACCGCAACACGACCAACTGGTGCGTATTGCCCGGCATCATGTTGCCAGCGCTGCAAGTGTCGCGATGTGCAAAACTCGAGCACATACCTTGTCCAACAAGATGCAGACAGCGAATATTATGCAACTCGTTTGGTTTCCGATCTCATGTTCGCCCGTCCCTGCGCTGCGCCACGAACATTTCTGGGCGTTGCCAGGAATGTTCGTAGCAAGCGCACCCAACCTCTGCACGACCGCGCACACTACTGCTTCAGTATACGTCCGCAATATGTCGGACTTGCGACGAAATTTTGAGTTGAAATTGTTTTGTTTTTTTCCTTTCAAGCGCATATTAGCGTGTTTGTCTGGCATTTTGTCTGACCCCCCAATATTTGTGTTTTGTGTGTCGATCTTAATTGTAGTCTTTCTGCTGTCACTCGCACGAAATTTTAACGCGTGCTAACAAGGTTCATATTATAAATGTGCCGGTTTTAGATATAAAAAAAAAAACTAAGAACACCATAAACTACACCCTTTCTCTGACGAGGGTAGAGACCAAAAAAAAAAAAGTATATATAAGATTTTTATTCACTCAAAGTGAAATCATTCAAAATTTTTAGCTTGTCCATAATTATCTTGCTTTTAAGGACGGACTTTTGGAACCCCTCGAAAGAACTGTCAAACTGGAAGCCATAAAAATGTCAAACATTTCGAGCCCTTTCCAACTTGAAACGTGGGAGGGGTGCGATGTATTTCTAGACATTTTAACGAACATACAATTGACCTTAGCAGACAAGAAATGTAGTTGTAGTTACCAATCGCTGATTTGTTTTTAATGAAAACTAAAGACACGACGTTAGCTGTACGAACAAGAATGTAAAAAAGATTTGTCACCATAATGACATGGTCGCCCTTAAATATTAGGTGCACGCCTCGCCTCCAAGAAAATGAATGGGGCGTGCTTACGTGTTTCAGAAACCTTTGGATAGCACTTCGTGCAGTAAAGATCATGGTTTCATTTTATATCTTCTTGGGTATCCTGAAGGTCTTTAAATCTGCCCTTCAAGGTTGATCAAACTGCATGTTTGTGACACACGTGTGATCTAATCTCCATATCCGCATATTTAATTTCCGGAGCAATGGATATATCAAATAAAGGAACCAAGAAACTTTTTTTGTGTGTGCATTTCGCTAAATCCGGTGCTCCTAATGTATAAGACACCCGTTCGTTTTTGTATTGTTGTTGCGTTGTTGTGGTTTTGTTTTTTAACTCAACGTGACAGCTGCAGAAACCACCGAAACATTTCGAATAACGTTAATAAGCCAGCTTGTTCTGCCCATGAGTTCATGGCCAGAACAAGACATCAAGTGTTCTTTCGTCGACTCGCGCCACTTATAAAGTTTTAGAATAGGGGGCCCCCCAACGCTTTGCGTCTTTCGAACAGCTTGTGTCGTCGCACAGAGTGACACCCCAAGTTGCTTGTGAGACCCGAAGCATTCGGGCCCCTGTTTTAAAGCTCTCTAAGAGTCATCACAGTCACGCGATCGGATAGGCAATGTCAGTAGCATGTGAAAGCGATTTTCGTCGCCGCACTAATGGACCTTTCCGGAAAATCCCACAAAGCCTCTCGCCAATCCCACATCGCACCGCGCGGCGCGGGGAATTTTGGGGTCGTTCCGTAGTACGCTCAGGCCGGCTGTTACGTTTCGTATATTCTGTAAGTGACTCAATTTCTTTTCTTTTACCACCGCAAATTCAGAAGAGAAAAAAGAAAGGGAGGGAGCACCTATTAAAGTCGATATACGTACCCTGTTTTGCTATCGTCCTGCTTTCTTTGCATTCTGAAATCCCAAAATGCTAAACAAACATTAATCGCTCCTTCTATTTATGGGTACTCCTCCACATGACGTACTACATCGGATTGCCGTAGTGCGTCGAAGAGACGATTGGAGGCGCTGCGTATTTTCGAAACGGTCTATTGGCCACGAATGCGCATCCGAATCTTCGCCGACGAATCGATTGTTACCGAGCTCAAGCCGACTGGTGACGCAGTGCTCGGGCCCAATCCGTGAGCCGTATTCGGCAGTGACGCACTGGGCCCCGTTTCAGAGAAATTTAGCCAGTGCAATAGGACTGATTGCCGGGGTCTTTGTCGTACATCACAATAAATTATCAGAAAGCTTTGTGGAGCAGAAAAATAACGCATAGGCTCTTCATTTGCAATATTTCACAACGAAAAGCATGTTTGCTTCCTATCCTGGTGTGTTAGTTCTCTATGTGTTTTACTAAGCGACACGGAGTTAGTAAACTCCGAACACAATATCGTTTCATGGTTCCTTCAGTATACATTGAAATGCAAACCAGTAATACAAGACAAAAAGAATTGCACGAAACTGTCAGTCAGCCTAAGTGTTGAATGAATCAATCGCTTATTGAAAGAAAGTGCTCACGCTAAAAAAGAAACACTTGCAACAATGTATATTACAGGGCTATTTTCACACACGACGATGGACATCTGAAAACTGCTTCGGTCGGAGATGACTTCGCAACGCTCAAGAAAACCCTAGAAGGTGAACTACGGGTGCTTTTGCTCCTCCGACTTGGAATCCCTTTGCACAGTATGCTGAGAGACCAAACGCACACCCATTTATATTCAGTATATATGCTCATATTGCACATAAAAATATCTCAGGTCGGACAATACACGAGTGTCCGAGGTCGGGAGACACGTTCATGTACCCCAAACGCTTCGAACAAGTTGGACTAGAAGGCGCTCATACAGAACAGATTGTCGTTTCGCCACTCCAAAAATCAATAGCAGCTGCGGCAACGTTTGAAACAAGGAATGGAGTTTGTGAAACAATAGAACGAGTCACCATCATCGAAAATCCTTTCCGTACGAACTACGACAGAGAGGCGCAACCGGATTTCAAAAATGCATCGTACCGACTGCAGTGATGTGATTGGCCCAAATTACTTCTGCGCATCATTTGGAGCGCGTGTATAAATTCCGTTCTACCTAATGATAGAGAAAATGCTGCTTTTAAGCCTCCATCGTCGGCCTATTCAACGACTCGAGGAGACCGTCTTTGCTTCTCTACTTCAGCGCACCCTCTCAAACATAAACATTGGAAATTTGGAATGGCAAACAGTTTAAGTCTGCGCACCCAAAACGCTCAACTAGCTGTTTCGTTGTGTATGAAGCACCAGAAACAACAACAAGAATGCCTTGACAAGAAAGTAGCGTCTTCCATCTAGTCTATAAAGCTCCATTGGAGCAGCTACTTTTGAAACACACCCTGATCGATGAAGGGCAAAACAGAGGTCTGCGTGAACGGTAATCCTAGCACTGAATGGAGAAGGAACGGAATACCATCCCAGTGGAATTATCTAATAGTAATGTACAAGTCATAAAGGCTGCAAGTTGTCGATCTACCGGGCCGTCAAACAATCGTAAGCTTACGTGGAAGCGGTAAGCTAATTAGTACGTGACATCAAAATACAAAATATGTAACTGCTAGAACTCAGGAACCCTGTCGCTATATCTAAATAACTTTATCTGAAACCCCAAAAACAAAAAAACAGACAAAAAAAGTATCCCGGCCTCTGACACACATGGCTTGTCTGGCATCACAGCGCATCCCTCTACGAACTTGTGTAATAGCACTTTTTAATAGCAGAGTTGCCAAAGTGAAATCAACGTTTTTATTTTTTTATTATTTTCTTTTTTTTTTTTTGCGTATTTGCAAGAGTACTCAGTTGAGCTGCGGAGAAGCAGCAGACCTGGAAGTTACTAGCCGCAAACATGTAGGATCGCGAAAGTTTTACGTCGAGGAAATGTTATTTTCAGCTGTTGTATAAATCATACAATTCAGATTTTTCTTTCATCTGTAGAAATAAATGTTATTTGTTTCAAAGTTTTATGCGGTTGTTGTTAGTGTAAATGGGGACTTTTTGTTGACCGCGTTTCCCCCTCTGCTAAGCCCTCCGTAAAGAAGAAGTTGCTATTGCGCCTGCGCGCCGATAGCCTTGACTACCGAATTCCGGGTGTAGCGGGTTGCGGAACGGCGAAAACGGTCATGAAAACTCCCTAATGTCGGTTCAATCACGTGAACAGAACTCCCGGGGAAGCAGGTTTCGTGATTCGCCACGCGGCATGCAGAACAAGTAAAGCACGCTGCGACTCGGAAGAAGCAGCGTTGACTGGACGAGCCTCGCTTTACGTGGAGTGTCCGCTCTGCGAATGTCGCTTCCCCGCCACGCACCAGTGCCACAGGGGTAGCGCCTTCTACTGAGCTAGAGCTAACCTCATCCGCTGGACCGTCGGACTTTGAACGATAAGGAACGTATCAGAATTACAGCACCACTGCTCGCTAAGGACGTCGAATCGAATACGACGGTGTTCGAATCGATAATCAAGAGTACCAAATATTTTCACGTATTTAGCCGGTGAAGGGAAACGCACAAAGACGACGAGCGCCATCATTTATAAGCATGTGTAGCGGGTGTTCCATTTTAATTCGAACAGATTTATTACAAGATATTCGTAAAAGATGCACTAATACGGTTTCTGCAGGTAAGTTATACGGCCAGGGGGACATTTTGTGGGTGACTAATCTTCGCGATAAGTCGAATAATTAATTAAAATTCGTTAATTAACATTTTAATTAGTGAAAATAGACACATGATTCCAATTAGAACCTTACTGAGCGTTATATAAAGCCACTATATCAGTTAATTTTAGAACGACTTGAACCTCGTGGGAAACTCGGGGTTGCACCAAAGTTACCTTTCGTGCAGCAGGCACAAAAGTAGCAAAGGCGGAACGCGATGATAATCTAATCATCCGCGTTTTGTCACTGCTAGCTTTGCGCCTGCTGCAGGAGTGGTAACTTCGGTGCGCCCCCGAGTTTCCCACGAGCTTCAGGTCGTTCTAAAATTAACTCATATAGTGATTTTAATTATGCTCAGCATATTCCTAACTGAAACCATATGATTATTTTTACTAATAAAAAAACAATTAAGGAAGTTTAGTTAATAATCGGACGTATCGCAAAGATTAGCCACCTATATTATGTCCCCCTGACCGCATAACTCACCTGCCCAAACTTTATTAGTGCATCTTTCATCAATTTTTTTTTAAATGAATCTTTGAAATAAAATAGAACACCCGGTATATATACAGGGTGTTTCACGAAAGGTGGATAAATTCGATATTGCGAAAACTACGCGTCGCAACAAAAACATTCTTGTGTCGTTTTGGTCCTGGGCCAGGGGCTCACTTAGGAAAATTATTAAAGTCCGGATAATTAGATTGTTAACTATTTTTGCGCCACTAAATTTTTTAATATCGTGTTTAAGGGCATGGTTTCAATTAGAAAATTGCTCAGCATCATCAAAAAACATTAAATCAACACATTGCAGAACGATAGAAGGCACGCGAAGCATTTTACGCCTTTCTGAAAAACCGCACAAATTCGACGGGTTTTTAAGTCTCGGTTTGCAATCGGAGCGCATCTCGGCCCCGACGGCACCGCGCCCCGTGGAGAAATAGTACAACCAACCTCTGCTGCGCTGTCCTCGAGGCTCGCGCAACGCAGCAGAGTCTGGTTGCACGATTTCTCCACGGGGCGTGGTGCCGTCGGGGCCGAGATGCGCTCCGATTGCAAACCGAAACTTAAAAACCCGTCGAATTTGTGCGGTTTTTCCAAAAGTCGTAAAATTCTTCAAGTGCCTTCTATCATTCTGCAATTTGTTGTTTTGATGTTTTCCGATGATGCTGGGCAATCCTCTGGTTGAAACCATGCCCTTAAACATAATATTAAAAAGTTAATTGCGCAAAAATAATTAAAAATCTAATTATCCCGGACTTTGATAATTTACCTAAATAGGCCCCTGGCCCAGGGCCAAAACGACACAAGCCTTTTTTTTTTGTTGCGACGTGTAGTTTTCGCAATATCGACTTTGTCCACCTTTCGTGAAACACCCTGTACACATATATATATATACAGGGTGTTTCACGTAAGAGGGACAGAAATTCCCACAATCAGTGTATTCCAGGTAAAAAAATAATTTTCTCGGGACCGCATTTCTCGTGGTGGCGGACGTCAGAAAATTCGCGACACTTACTATTAGTTCGCTAATGAACTAAAATTAACTAATTAACTTTTTTATTGGTGAAAGTAGACATATGGTTTCAATTAGAAATTTGCTGAGCGTCATTGAAAACTTTTAAGTCAGTCATTTTCAGAGACTTTGAGCGCTTTAGAAGCGTAGTAGTGCGCTGAAGTTACCACTCGTGGAGCAGGTACAAGGCTAGCGGTTGCGGAACGCGGATGATTAGATTATCATCGCGTTCCGCAGCCTTGTACCAGCTCTATGAGTGGTAACTTTAGTGCACCACTACGCTTCTCATGCGCTCAAAGTTTTCCTGAAAATTACTGATTTAGTGGTTTTCGATGACGCTGAGCAAGTTTCTAGTTGGAACCATATGTCTATTTTCACTAATTAAAAAGTTAATTAACGAATTTTAATTAAGTAGCCGACTTATCGCAAACATTATCCACCCACATAACGTTTTCCTGGCCGTATAACTCACCTCCACAAGCCGCATAAGTGTAAGTTTGACGTTTTTTTTTTAAACAAATCTGTAAAACATTAAAAAAACGCCCTGTATTTATACAGGTCTTTTTTTTTTTTTTTTTGCTTTTAAGCTTAAAAGATTTGTTTAAAAAAATCCGTGAAAGTTACACTTATGCGGTTTGTGCGGGTGAGTTATACGGCCAGGGGGACATAGTATAGGGGGGGTAATCGTACCGATGGCGTCGTCGTCAGTGGATCCCCGACGCGCTCCAATCGGCAAACAGGCTCCAGCTCGACAAGACTCGGCGCAAAGCGGCAGAGGCGTCCCTCCTGGCGTCACCGCGTTCTAGCGTTGCGCTCGCTGTGAGACGCTTCAAAACGTGTTGGCGGCGACGCAGACGCGGGCTAAACGGCGCTGCGTCGATCCGCTAGCGATAAAAGTCTTCTACGGTGGTATAGCGATAAGGCGGACATGCACGTCGCACTACGGACACGAGCCCAAAATGTTGGAGGGCAAAGTTGCAGCTGTTCTTGTTTCCCAGGCCATGCAAGGGCCTTCGTGTACCTGCGGATCCAGTTGGGGGACGAGACGAGCAAGCGGTCCAAGTTTGTCTTCATCGCGTGGCTCACCGAAGCCGTCGGAGTGATACAGCGCGCCCGCATGAGCAGCGAGAAGGCGGAACTCAAGGAAATCATCACCGTGCGTATGCAGGCTCGTCTGTGGGCTGAGGAGCAAGGCGCCGAGAAACTCAGGGAGAGGAGGAGACGAGAACGCGCGGCGACGTCAGAACGCCGAGCTGATTGGATGGGTTAGTGGGTAGACCTAAAGCTATGCGGAGCGAAAGTTTGTCTGCTTCTTGCGCAGGGGTTGCACTGACGTCAGAGCGCCGAGCTCTGATTGGCTCTGATGTAGAGATAGTGGGTAGACCTCAATGCTAGCTGCGTTGAGGTCTACCCACTGTCCTTCCAATCGAAGCAAATCAGAAGTGTGCGTTCTGACGACACTGCAACTCCTGTTCAAGAAGCAGACGAACGTGCGCTCCGCATAGCTGCTTTTGTCTCCACTGCACTCGTCGAACGCGTTAGAACGCGGAACGCCGGCGTCCGACAATTGGCTCTCGCGTTCAAATGCGTTCAACGAGCGCAATGGAGACAAGGGCATACCAGCTTTCGGTCTACCCACTAATCATTCCAACCAGAGCTCGCCGTTCTGACGTCCCTCTCGTATTCTCCTCTCCCTCACTTTCTCGGCGCATGCCACACGTGCAGATCCTCCCGAATAGAGTACAGTATTTATTGATGAAAATATTCCCTGGAGAAGGGGAACAAGAGGGACAAGGGACAAACGTCCCTCTTGTTCCCCTTCTCCAGGGAATATTTTCATCATTATTGTCCAGCTCGCTTGCCCCTTTGCATTTAATTGCATTATAAGTATTTATTGTAATACAGGCAAAGCAGAACTTGGCCTATGACATATCCAGTTTTTAAATTGATACTAAATGTGTGTTTTTTTGTTTGTTTTTTCGAAAGAGCGGGGTTTGTTAATTGCTGTGCTACCACCTACGTTCACGGTTGAGTGTAGTGGAACGCTTCACCGCATGACCGACAAAAGGGTGATTTTACCTTCTTATTCGAGGCACCTTCTTTGACAGCACCTAGTCAACGGCTCCAGTATCTCGCGTGCTTGTACGACTTACCTGTACACATATTATAAATTATAATTCACCCAATGTTTTTTTTTTTTTGTTTTTTGTTTTTTTTTTACGTTTCGACAAAGCAGCATGAATCCCTTTCAAAGAACATCAACCTAATGCTGTAAAACAAATGTAAAAAAAGCTTTTTTTTTTATCTTTGCGATGACGTTTACGGCGAAGGAATTTAGGGGATTCGCGAGTTACTTTTCTGTAAAATTTGTAAAGAACATTTATGAAATGTACTTTTACAACACTTGCAAATGCATTACGCAATTTTTCTTCTTCTAAAAAAAAAAAGAAAAAAAAAAAAAGATTGAATCCCGGAAGTGGCAGACGAGCTTTCCTTCCGCTCCTTGCCTTCTGCTTCTGAACTTGCTGTAATCTAAGTGACCGGGCAAAGGCTCTGTGCAGCGGCAAATTAATGGGTCAGGTTCTGACGTCACGGGCAAAGCGCTGCCCAGATCTATTTTGTTGCCTAATATTTCCCATTTTACTAACAACTAAACATTTCTTTCTAGCAAAACGCAAGTGTATGTCGTTTTGCTAGCAAAAGGTTGCTTTTGGGGGCCATTGTTGTGTGCTCTGCAGTTAAGCGCGTGCTGACCAGCCAGAGTCCCCAAATTAATTTCGCACCGTCAAGACTGTTCTTCGTGGCAGACGATGACTTCCTTTACCCACAGCTCGTGATGATGCCAACAAATGATCATTCCCGACGAAAACGAAGACTGCCTAAAAACCAGAAGCACACACGTGGTTAAGTAACGACACATTATTTTGGGGGCAGCAAGAAACAGCGAGGTGGTGCCAGTTCGGCGTGAAGCAATCCCACCCAAAAAGGCATGAATGACCATGACGGCATGCGCAGGCCTTCTATGCTCGTTGTCCCCTCACGAAAAAATGACATTTTGCGCATTGTTCATACGCCAGTCGAAGTAGTTCTTAGAAGATTTGGTTTTCGGAGGAAGAAGCGATGCTTTGGCGTTTGAAACGTGTGCGTCTTGATAACACATAATCTAATCTAAAATGCACCTACATATAATTCTCTACATAAAGGGGCAAATTAGTAATGCTCCGCGACGACAGACTTTCCTTTAACTACGGTTCTTGATGTGAAAACGAGTATAGGCGGTATTGTGTAAAGCGCCTTGACAAAACGCAAATTCTTTTTTATATATATATATATATATATATATATATATATATATATATATAACGCAGTTTTTCATTTTAGAGTTTGAAGGCAATGCCTATCATTTGCAGTCATTCGGGACAATAAAAAAAATTATTTTGGGTTGACAGTGTTAGTTTCTTTAAAGTTCTTTTCGCCAGATGCTTTAAAAACCTACTCACTCTTTCTCGCGCGAGTTGAAACGTGGTGGCGCCAGCGAGAAAATGGCCCCCAACCACTTCTGGTTCCGACTTAGAAGGCGGGTTTAGCAGTATTGCCGGAATCAAATATACACCCTTTCTTCTGTCAGACTTAATTCACTCTTCCGATAAAAGAATAATGAGTACAAAATTGGGAAATATACGTGAACCGGAAGTGTGCCGGGGCTACCCAATAGATGACGCCACTGAGTTTGCTGCCAAACAGAAAAGCGGCGGATACCCAAAGTGCAATTCTTTGAACACTAACTGGGAAAATTCTTAACTAGGGTGTGTACATATTTGCCCCTTTCACTTTTTTGCAGAATTTCTCCGTAGAACTTCTGATTGAAGATCCTGCAGAGCTCACGGAAGACCACATAAAAGATACAGTCAGGAAAGCAGCCAGCGCGGATTATGGAACAAGCTCATAACAACCATATACTTAAAAGTCCCTAAAGTAGTAGCACTAAAAATAATTAAAGGGAAACTGAAGCGGTTCTGTATTTGAGGAAAAACACTTAGTTGATCATCTTTATTTGGCCTCCAGGATCACGAATAGCGATATTAGTTTTCAATTTGGTGCACGGAGGCTGCAGAAAGTCATTTTCAAAGTACCGCTGAAGCCCCTCCTTCCCGGGGCGTGACGTCATATCAGGAGTTTTCAAAATCTCCGCTTTCGCGCAACTTCAGCGCCAATCAAAGGTATGCACGCGCACTTTTGCCATTTTCAAAAAGGTCAGAAAAAGACGTCACGGCTGGTGCCAGTGCGGGGGAATATACCTGGCAAGCTTGTAATTACACGCGCTGCCCACACGAGCGACACGCGCTTGGCAGCCGAAAGATTCTAGCATGATGTAAAGACTGGTCGGAAGTTTTTCGCGTTTAGTTACATCTTCGGGGAAACCGAACGTAATATCCAGATTCACGGGATAAATATACGCCTTAATTCACCTTTAATTCACCGTTCACTCTTGCAACCGAGTGCGACCGAGAGAGACGAGATATGTTAGAACTTAAAATTTCTTAGGACGAGGGAACACACTGGTATTCTGGCACCATCTATGCGGTGAAGGTTTTGCGGGATTTCCGAGGTCAAATGTGCGTAATACCTAAAAGTAAGGCTCGTCTATAACGTTCACAAAAGTTTTTCGAGCCAAGAAAGGATAATGCGCGAGAGAATTAGAAAATATGCTGGACCGAGAAGTTTACACTGCTACCCAATAAATGTCGCCAGTGTGTCCTCTCGTTGCAAGAGGTTTTAAGGAACCCAGTTTTAAGAGGTCGCAAAAGTGTGAACGGGCCTTAACTCGTATTTTTCAAGAACCTTTTCAGCTTCCCTTTAACAACATGTCGATATAGTAACTTCAAAGCAGGCCATCATAGCATTCTTCAATGACAGATTATGAAAGTAAAAAACGCCTGTAGCAATATAACAGAAAAAAGAGAATGAAGTGGTCTACTATTGTTTTTTTTTTTAAATACCTTCAAAAGCTGTACACCTATAAGAAATAAATTTACTGATCATACTATTGATGCTCGCAAACTTTAGTCATCATCTAGATCCCATCATACAACGTGCAAACCAAGAAAAGGAAGGTCAGGAGAGTGTTTGGTATTCCAATAATTGACATTTATTATCAAAGCTAGTACACTAAACATATTCCAATTTAAAAATGTCTGACATAAGGTGAGACATTGCACATGAAGTAAAATCCAAATTCAAACTACATCAATGAGGAAAAACACCAGATATGTAGTGTCAAACTGAGCTTGCTTGACTTGGCATGTGTAGTATTGTGAAAACACTAAAACCAGTTTTAAAGCCAGAAAAAGCAAAAAACAATTCTGTTGACATTCATCTGTGTGCAAGATAAAAATAGAACACACTTTTCGTCGCACAAGCAGAAAAGAAAAAGAAACCTGCCCGCAGCTTACATAATCTGTACTGCACGAATCAGAAAATTACAATTTTAGAACAACGTCCTGGCAGAGCTACCCCCCGCCCCCAAAAATGTATTTCTAAAAATTTCATTTGCTTCAAGCCAAATGTTTCAGCTGGCCTGTTAGTGGAACATAATTCATCATATAGATGCATAACAAATCAGTTTGCAATGCCTCTTTTCATGTATATTAAAACAATTAACGAATTGCAAGTTTACATACTCCAAACATCAAGCAGTGTTGAAAATGTATTAAAGGAGGTACAACCCTCTTGTTCTTTAATACAAGATAAAATAAAAGAAGTGTCTAGAAACTGTGCAGATATTAATGCAGTTATCAGGGTTGCAATTTTAATGCAGAGGTAAAAAGGTTGCAAAAAATGCCAGGTCATTCTATTTAGGTAGCACTGGCTTGATTTTCACATTCCATCTCCCAGAGCCAGGAGGCATTATGTAATGTGTGTCCCTAACCTTGAAATGGGAACTTCCTATACCGAGTAGCAGCGTTTGGTTGGTGACTCAGCAGATCCAGCTGCCAAGAGTTGTAGTGCAGGACTGTAGCTGCTGTGGCAGGGACAGTCCAGAACACTAGCCTTTTCAAGCTACCACCTTACAGTCTTCCCCGGTGCCTTCAAAAGCGTTTCTTGGCAAAAGTATTGGGGACTTGAAGGCGGCCATGAAAAATTCCAATATAATATTAACAGGTACAAAATACCACAACTTTTCTTTCAAATTACAACAAAAAAAAACTAAACATGAGCCCAAGAATTATAAAAATGTCATGCTTTTAATGATAAAAATTGACACTTGAAGATCCCCGATTAGTTTTAACTATGTTAGAAAGTTGTCAGAGACCACCAGAACCAATTAGACAACAGGCATGATAAATTTGAATGAAAGTCAGTTTTCAAAGCATTTATAAATGCCCATTTGTAATTTATATTTTGTTTTTAAACATGTTTTCTTCACAATTCTCACATGCTAAAAAAACTTGTTTCTCCAGGGCCTAAAATAAGTAAACAAGTAGCACAAAAAGAAAGGCACGCACAAACATAAAAAACAGTGTTTAGGACCACTAGAGACCCCATCCTTGATTCAAACAAGGGAAAGTAATGCAACCAAAGACGTCGAACGGAGCTGAAGTCTAATGCCCTGAGCTGTAACTCTAAGGGCTCCGACGAACATATTTATACTTAAAAAAGATATTAGTCTTAACACATATGCATTGAATGCATTGCATCAAAATCATAAAATGGAGTATGGATGACTTATCGCAAAACACAAAACAAAAACACACTATTAATCTACAATGTCAAACCACCTTTATGACGAAAAAAAAAAAAAAAATTGGCAAGGATGCAGCTTATATTTCTTGATTTGACACGTCATAATTTTACTTCATAGAAAACTTCAAAGCGTACAGAAACCCAAAATACAAAATCTAATGCACCTGCCCCGAGACTACACTAGTCTAATCTTCTTGGTTGCACTTTCCACGTCGGTGCCATTGATGCTGCAGCAGGAAGAAAGCTCCTTCAGAAGTGGATTCTTTGAACAATGTCCAAACAGAGTCAGAAGAAGAGCGACTCCATAGCCAGTGGCCCTTTCACCCTGGAAATGTTTAGCTGTGTTAGCAAAACGCTACTGAGACAGTATAAATTCTATGCAAGGAGGAGGTAAGCAGCCAACTCTTATACTGGAACTGCTTTTATGGAATTAAACCTTTACAATAAGCAAGTGTGTCCAAAGGTTACTACTATGAAGTCATGTTTGGAACATACAGCGCGTTATTTTTTAGGCTTTACAGACTTGTTTTAAAAAAGTCATGAAAGCTACCCAAATGCGGAAGACTATGTTTTCACACCGCCAGCTTTGCATCTGTTGCACGAGTGGTAACTTTAGTGCGCCTCCCACGCACTCTAAATTCTAACATTTAGTGATTTTGTGTTTTTTTATGACGCTCAGCAAGTTTCTAATTGAAACAATACATTTATTTTCACTAATTAAAAAGCTCATCAACAAATGTTAGTTAATTATGAGGGGTGGGCAAATATTCAAAATTTCGAATATGAATAGAATATTATACATTTAATATTCGTCTTCGATTCGTTTTTGGTAATTTTCGAATATTCGTTGTAACACAAATATTCGAAATTAATCGAATTTTCGAGAACATATTTGCAAGCGTAAGTTTTGCTTTCGGCTTCAGTTTCGGTAAGTAAGGCCCATTGACAGCGACATAGCTGCATGGCGGCTTCAACCTAAATTGGTGGCATCGGTGTCGGTAGGAGGAGGAGGACACAACTTTATTTATAATCTATTGGCGGTAATCTCAGAGTTTCTCTATCCTTGTGACTCCTGGCTTTTTAAACTGCTCACTTTCGCATTCGCCCAACCATGTTATGGCGGATGGAGATGTTTGCGGGGAATCGTCCGCGAAGCGGAGAAAAATTTTGTGCGAGCGTGTCTTCATATGGTTGCAGTCTCGCTTTGCATCTGGCTCCCACCTTGCTATCGAGTTTTGCGAGTTCACTGTTTAGTTTACATTTTCTGTTTGGTTCATGTATAATTAGCAGGTTAACTACAAAACAATTGGGATGTTAAATAAAAGCAGCTTGTGAATGCAAATGTTGCCACCTTGGTATGTTGCTTGACTGGTGCAAACGAACAAAGCTCCTGGTGCGGCTGTACGAGATACACGCATTTTCCAATCAACTGCAACTTTTATGGCACGGCATTCAGCTTCTTTGTCCATATAAATCCCGTAAAATAAATAAAAAAAAGCAGCAGTGCCGCATTCTGTAATGTTCGGTACAAACAAGTGAATGTTACGTGCGACCTGATAGCTGTGAACTTTCAGAAGGTCTTTTTGCATTCCACATCACTTATGCCTCGTTCACACTTGCAAACCAGCGGCCGGACCCGCAAGAATTCTGACGCCCGGCGACGAAGGCAGGCAGAATTTCCGGCGGAGAGCAAGATCGCTCTGGGGGGGGACTAATTTGAACGCCGGAAAAAAGTTTCCTCTCGCCGCAAGCCAATCAGAACGCACGGGGGAAGTGGCGCCTGCTGACGTCAGATCTCTGCTGACGAGCTGGCGACGATGACGAGACACGCGCAGGCAAGGAGGAGGTTTGGGAGCTCTCGTCTGCTCTCATCTGTTCGAGAAACTGCCAGACGCTGGGAGACGCTCGCGCCACGCACTCCGCAGGTGGCAACAAATCTGAACGACCCAATCTTTTTTCGGCGAACAAATCCAGTCGGCGGCGAGTGCGTATTTCACAAATATGAACAAGCCATTAAAAGGTCATAAAAACAGCAGTCGACTGCATGATATTTGTTTTCGGGAAATGTGTGTCGAACCGCAACGCTGCCTGCAAGCATAATAATATTTTTTTTGACCGCCACCTCAGATTGCTCCCCAGTCTGGGCTCCAAAGTTCCAAGTTTGAGACGTCAAAATAAGGACAAAAATATTTTGACGGGGACGTCAAAATTTTTTTAGAAATATTTTCACGTCTGCAGGAAGTAGCGTCACGAACGTCAAAATAATATTCAAGATTATTTTGAAAGTGGACGTCGAACTAGTCACTACCATTTACCCTTTCTTTTTTTGGGCTTGGGCAGGCGTTGGGTAGGCTTAGCCACCCTCGCCTCACGTGTTAGTCACCCTCACCTCCTTGGAGTTGATGATCGGTGTCAGTGATTGGTATTCTTATCGCTGCACCGCAGTGGCTTAGTCCGTTACAAGGTGCACAGACCAAAGATGCCCAAGTATAAATCTTTAACCTTGAAACAAAAGGTTTGCTTTCTCGAAGAAGGAAACAAATCGACGTGTGCTCGAAAATGAAGCTTGTAAGTGCCCATCTCCACATTTTGCACCATTCTGAAGAACCAAGCAAGGATTCTCGAGGTGTACAACAAGACGCACTCTGCAAAGCATTCGCAGATTCGATTCCCCACATACCCGGACGTCGAAGCCGCCCTGATAACTTGGCTCCAGAATGCTACCGCAGCACACCTGCTGCGGTAGCATTAACGGCACAATTGTGCAAGAGGAGGCCAACGATTTAGCTTTGAAACTTGGACATGAAGAATCCAGACACTATGCAGCAACGGATAGTTTTCCCGCTTCGAGGAACGAAACAACTTGATATTCCTTACGGTGTGTAGCAAAAGCGACAGCATGGACAAGACTGTTGTCGAAGAATGGATAAAGTACACCTTGGCTTCACTTAGCAAGTACAGCGCAAATGAGGTTTACAATCTGGACAAGGTAGCTCTTTTTTTACAAGACGCTTCCTAGAAAAACATTTGCAGTGAAAGACACGAACGTCAAAGGACGGAAACAGCCAAAAGACAGGATCACAGTCTTGTTCGGTGCAAATATGACGGGCGAACACAAGCTGCCCCTTCTGTTCCCAGGAAAAGCAGAGAAACCATGATGCTTCAAGAATGCTCGGCTTCCACCAGCCAATGAACTCGTCTACCGACACAACAAGAAACCCTGGGACACAGCAGCCATCTTCAAAGAGTATGCGCGACTCTACGATCGCAAGTTTGCGGCAGCAGGACGAAAAGTTGTTTTGATTGTTGATAACTGTCCGGGCCATGGTGACATTCAGAACCTCAAAGCGATGAAGCTGGTCTTACTCCTACCAAGCATGACGTCCATCTCGCAGCCAATGGACCAAGGTGTTATTCTTCATACGCGGAAGATCTATCGCCACCACCTTCTGAAGTGGATGTTGCTCTGCTACGACAATGGCAAGGGCTATTCCGTCGATCTCCTTGGGGCTATATGCCTGATCAGGTATGCATGGAAACAGGTGAAGGCGGAAGTCATCGAGAGGTGCTTCGAACAGCTGGATTTTCGAAGGAACGACTGGCTGTGGAACAGGAGGATACCGCAGATACCGCCAGTGCTAATGCCAGTATTGTCCCTGGGATTGACCATGAGAAAAAGGAGCTTTGCTCCCGCATTAGTGAGGTTCGCAGACTACTTAAACATGGAAGAAAATGAGCAAACCTGCTACGCGGACCTTGAGAGCGAAATCACTGGCAGTGTGATAGCGGAGATTGATGGCAATGATGAGCTGCCTTGGGCCCCCACTCTAGGGGAAGTTATACAGTCGCTGAATGTCGTCCGCAGCTTTGTGGAATGTAACAGCAGTGATTCTAAGATGTTGCGCCTAGCTAGCCTTCTAAAAAATACGACGTTCAGCGCCACTAATTACAGAATGCGGCAGTCCCATATCGACGACTACTTTGGGTGATGTTCTCTAGTTTTGAACAAAAATGTTTCCTTAAAGATTCAAGGCTTCGCGCACAATTTTTTGTAATTTTCTTTTGTTTTTGGATTATTCACAAACCTGCTGAATTCGCATAATTTCGCCGTCCGACCGCCTTCGAATTAACGAGGCTCTACTGTACTCATTTTTGAGATACCCATTTCTGAAAAGGTTGACTTATATGCGGCAATATACGGAAGCTTGCCAGGCAAAAACAAAAATTGGTCTTGTGTTTCACTTTATTTCACACCCTACGTATGCAAGTCATTATGCATATATTCTTGAAACATTGCAGAAATTTTGTCGTGCAGACGACCAAGAGCCTGAGTTTATTGGTCCCAATTTGCTGAAATGATAGAGCAAGCTGTCGCTGCATGAAACGTCAATGCTCAAATGTAGCGTAATCTTCCGGCCACTGGCATGCCAAACAACCCCATTCGTTGGCAAGTTGGCACAGCATGCTCGTTGAATCCACGAGAGAACAGGGCACGACTGTAGTATACATTATTTCTTGTTTTTGCATAATGCCACCACCGTTAAACATGTCCAGTATTTCTTTCCATCTTTTATGATGCCTGCCGATGCACTCTTGGCAATGCCATACTTGTGCTTACCTATGCCAGTATCTCAACTTTTGTTTCAAGAAAGAGGGGCTGACACATGCTTCTTGGCATTTTAGGTTCAGCTGCCGAGTGCAGTTGCAACTACACCGTGATCCCAGCAGCATAGACCGTAACGAATGTTAGAGATTTCACTAAAGCCAGTGCAAAGGGTAGTCGCACATGCCACAACGACATTGGAACTCCAAAGCCCCAATGTGTCGGCCAAACCACCAAAGCCCAGAAGCCTCGCACTAAATCTTACTCAGGTAGATAAGTTACTTCAGCGGGTCATATCATATAGCGAAGCCGGATGTGGGTAGCTTTATCGAATGCCGAGGTACAAGACGGTTACACTGGAGCGAAACTGAGGGAATTCTATAACATGACTGAAATCCACCCATATTTTCTCATTGGCCAATAGAAAGATGGTGCTATGGTGGGAAACTCTCCATTTGTACACTCATGCCATTCATTCCACGGCATCCATGCAATGCTGGCCTGCTGTAGCTGGCCGGTTGGCCTACTGCTTCAGTTCAGACACGACGGGTACAGGGATGAAAAGACGCTAGGGTCGCCACAGAAGTTTGAGGCTGTGTTCCAAAATTTACTCTATCTTACTCCAGGGTAAGGGTTTTGTACCTTGGCGCTCTAAAGCCAACCCGTGTCCAGCGCTTTTCAGCCTGTGTTGTTGCGTGACAGACCCGCCGGAGTAACTCGGATCCATTTGGGTAAGATTTGGAACACAGACTGAATCATCCAAAATGCATGCGAAAAGTAATTTGGTATAGCAAAGGTTTTTTTTTGTTTTTTGTTTTTTTTTCACTGCATTGCATTTATAAAATATCAACAAAACGTTTACATTTCATTTGGCATAACCGAGAATTCAGCTTAAGCGAGTCTACCGTACTCCATATGAAGAAAGCCTTTAATTAAGAGCGCCCCTCCGGCAGCTCTCGTAATGCTTTCAAAAAAAACCCATGATAAATGTATTCATCTCATCATCATACTCCAAGAAAGGTATGAAAAGAAACACAACTCACGCAGTGCACAGGATAAGCCATGTCGATGTGCATCCAGATGCCGGGAAACTCAAAGCCAAGATGAGAACAGATGAACAGACCAGCACATGATGGCTGGGCATTGTTGCGGTCCTGGAGAGACCAAAAGTACACTAAACCAAACCAAATTTGACATTTGTGTTTATACAGCGTTAGGTCAGCCTGCTCTTGAGGTGTGCCGACACTGGTTACGCTGCAGATGAGCCATTTAGCCAGTGCTGTACGACTGCTAGAACGAAGCAAATCAGGAGAAAATAAGAAGAGGACTCACTTTTGGTGTGCGATCAAAACAACAAAAAAAAAATGCTAGTTTAAGATTCTGTGACTTGCAAAACTTGTGATTGCAGGAAGGGGCAATGAACCAAAAACGACCGTTCTCCCCAGTCAGCAATGTTCGCTTATCTCCCGTCGTGGCTAAGGAACACATTTATGACGAGGTCACCATTGGCCAGGGCCCTGCAATTACTAGAAGAGGGCCATCTTTCTGTTTTTTAAAAAATAGCAAATCGTGCCAAAAATAGGCGCAGGTTATCTTTCGGGGGTGGGACATCTCTCGGGAGGTATTAAAGTACATGACACTGAGAGCTAAAATATCCAACTGTCGGCACAGCTCATATTGGCACCATTATCATTAGTGATACAACATGCACAAAACTTATGAGCTAGTCTAAAGCTAATGCTACGTCTGGTGAGTAGGTAATACACAAACCACAAGCACACACTGGTCCCAGCTAACTCACGTGTCACAGTGTAAACATCAATAAACCATTTGCCAAATTCCCAAGCACCAAGAGCATGTAGAGTTTCTAGTTACACATGTTGCATGTGTCTGCAGCGGTAATTCTCTAAAGAAACTTTGCGCGTGCATTTGTCATATGATACGATACGAGTTTATTTTTCACCACAGAAACATGTGGTGAATGGGAGGCCAGAGAAAAAAAGCTGCAGAAATCCAGCTTTTTTCTCCGGATTCTTTGTCTTATCTTAGTCATTTACTTTGAATCTTCCACACATACACATCAAGTGCATCTGGCATGTGTAACTACACTCTCAGCATGCTCCATGGAGCTTGAGAATTTTTCAAATGGCCTATTGCAGGGGTCAGCAACATTCGGCCCGTGAGACCATATGATACTACAGACCTTGTTTAATTGCACATATTATTTCTGAATCAGCACACCAGGGGGTCAGTTTTCTATGTATGTTCACTGTACGTACCACCTATCCACAGTTGTCGCACACCAAAGTGATGCATTGAGAAGCAATAATTAAAGTTGTTGTATCCAGCATAAAGCGTTCGGAATCACGATTTTGTACCATTGTCATCAATTTCAACAGTTTCTGTCAAACACAGCCTTACTATAGAAATTCTGGCCGTGACTGGTAGGAATTTTAGCATAAATCTTGTAGGCCACCATTACAAAAAGTGATTGGACTAATGGCTTTTAGTTTGTCTAGCTGTTTGGATGTTGTAATCATAACTGTGTGCCCTTGAAAATGATAAAGGCAGAACCTGGGCCCCAAAAGCCTCGCAAGATACAGCGTGCAGCACAAGGCATAGCAGTTCACTGTGCATCATATCATTCTGTTCAGAAGCCGATTCCCCCCGGTTTTTCATGTGGCCTGCTCCATCGCCGCGACACGGAGACACGGTTGCTGACCCCTGGTCTATTGCATAATGTAATAGAAAACCTGTAAGGGTGCCCTATATGTTGAAGGACACCTCCAGCTAAAACAAACTTCTCCAACTTTTCTCAGCTATAACTGATTATGGGAGAAGTCATTTTTCTGCAGTGATACTTTTGTCACAATGGCCCCAATCATGCAACCGATTTGTGCAGATTTTTAACGAACTGCCCTTTCAAAGCAGTTTGTCCACTAGTTGCTACCGCCACCGAAACAAAACTGTCACACTGGACACAAACTCACAGCCACTGAGTTCTTCATGTCAGCCAAGGCACTGGCGAACTCGCTGAAATGAAGCTCTGGTGCAAACGGCATGGCGTGGATCAGGTCTCCGGATACGATGCCCGAGCGCACGCACAGCTCCTCCCACTCAGAGGAGTTGGTGACCACCGCAGCGTGGTACTTGCCCGTGGCTATACCTTGGGCCCCCGTCAGCGTGGCCATGTCCACAATGATGTTCGCCTTGAGGTCCTTGTGTGCGTAAGCCACCTGCACCCATTCCACCAAGGGCCATTCGAGATACTCACCACCACTACCCAAAATCATACCCCGATCGCCTTCACCGTTGCGACAATCCTTTCTAAGCAACCATCAATAGCCAAGAGCAGGAGCCCACAGTTGTACAGGCACCCGCCCATAGTTTGTTTTCTAAAACGTCTCGAACTTCACGGAGTATGTAATCGTATTTCAGCCAAAGCAGGAACACGACCTAAAGTTTTGTTGCATAAAGCTTTAACACTGGAAGAGCAGTTCAGAATTTTAGCAAACTAGCAACACAGTGAACAGCAGTGTTGCCAATTTAACAGTTCTCCCACTAAATTTAGCAGTTGTCATGCGTCGTCTGGTGGGGGAAATTGATATTTTGCAGGCGGCGGGATTTTTAGCGGTTTTCAAATCATGTTAGCATTTTCTTTCTGGTAGTCTAAAATGTTCTAGAGTTTAGATTTATCAATCATAAATAGCTTAATTTCCGTGGTAAGTTAAAGTCATCGGGCCGTCATTGCTTATACTCTCAGCAAAATCGTTGCAGGTGAAAGTAACGCTTGCGACTCCATTGAGTTGTAATAACTCAGTGGCAAACCTTGAAACATGCTCTCGACTTATTTGAGCATGAATGCAGAAATTCCTTTTCCAAGTCTGCCAAACGACACAGGCCCAGTAAACTAGGCGCGAGAATTCGGAAACCAAGGGCCGCAGAATTCCAACCTTCAAGACCGGTTACTGGAAGTTCCAAGCGACGTTTGACAAGTCAAGCTGCTCTACTGAAAAATATAACTTTTCGCAAAACACATAAATTTGATCACTGAAGCTAGGACTGCTGCCAAATACTGCACTAAATATAGGACCAATGGAGGTGTACATTGGCAGGCATGGCAAACTAACACCACCGCTAACAGTCAAATCATGCAGTGGACATTGTTCTGTGCATGAAAGTGATCCGAGTCAAACAACACGATTCCCTTCAAAGGTTTTTTATTTTTTTATTTATTGTACTCCTTTTAGACTAATTATAGCAGGAAATTGTGTTAAAAAGGCATTCTTGAATACACCCGAACTTTAGCGGTTTTTCAAGATTCCTGCTGCTGGTTTTTGATTTTGGAGTTGGCAAGACCAGTGAAGAAAGAGCCAAAAAGATATCTGCATTCTGCTATCTCACACTGAACACCACACATAACTATATTGTGCTTGTCTCTTATTGAATTCATGTCTTTTCTTGAAAAACACGAGTCATTGACCAAACAATGATGTTTCTGCATTATAGAGTTGCATGCCCGTGAGTGGAACTCTTAATTAACCCTAGATATTAAACATCTATTATGACCAATAAGACTTAAGATATTTCGATACGAGGAGGAGTTGTGTGCAAGACAAGTCGGTGCCCGATTTGCTGCTAACCAAAAGCAGTGTTTCAATTGACACCGAAGCTCAATGGCACGACTTCGAAATTTATGAAACAAGGTTAGAGTTTATAGATCTACATACATTTATAGATCTACATGCATATGAATTTTCAGGTTCGAGTCCAATGCTAATCTGATTATTTTAGACGTTGCAATTAATGTTTTGTTTCACAAAATATGATAACTGCAACGATAAAAAATAAACCACACCGAGTTAAGTTCTACAGGAAGTTTTTCTTGCTCACTGATACTTTTTCACTGTCTTTTAAATATATTTAGGCACTGTTACAATACCAGAATCAGCAAGTGTTTCATAAATAGTTTCCAAAATAAACGATGTGGCAAAAATTATTGAGGCTCCTACTGTTAAGCAGAGGACACATGAGCGATGAAAATGGGCGCCGTGCGGCAGTATCATAGCAACCAGTGCCGACGACCCTACATCACTTCCGCGCAGCGCCGCGGACCTCGGATCTGGTCGATACAAATAAAGCCGCACGGTGCGCCTGTGGTCCGCCCAGCGGCGAGCAGTGAATGGTGCGCGGCACCCAGTTTCATTGCTCATGTGTTCCATACTTTAGGGAGAAAGAGAAGTGGACTGAGAGACAATTACATATTTAAAAAAAACAAAAATTTTTATAAAATGTTCAAATACTAACATTCAACTTGTTATCCTTCAAAACAATATTAACTCTTAAATATATTAGAACATCAAGTCATCGAAATCAGCAGCGTTACATTTTTACAAGTAGCCCCAAGCAAATCTTGCTTGAAAGCCACTAAAGCAACTTGGTCAGAGAATCGCCTAGCACAAGTTTCGATGCAAATGCACCCAGGGTGCCAAAAGACCTCCTGCAGGAATACTTTCCTTCTATTCAAGAACTAACAATGTGCCCTATTTTATGTCTTTAAAGAAATATGTAGCATCACAATCACACATTTTTTTATAGCATAACCTCGAGACTTTGCCATGCATCGAACATGTGGAGGTCACAAGGGGAATCTAAAATTCATAAAATCAGTTTTTAATCATAGGAAGAGGCAAGGGAGCAAGCTACTCTAAACGTTTCTGGAGAGTAGAAATAAGGAACAAACACAAGGTAGACAGACGGCACTCATGTTTGTCTGTCATGTTTGAATTGGTCCCTCATTTGTATTCGCATTCGAGTCTTCCAGAGGTTTTGACCCTGTTCAGATGCTTTTCTCTCTTCCTCACTGTTTTTTTAAGCTAGACATGAATTTTGCTAACAAAATAGCCTCAGTTTACCATGACAATTTTAATCGGACTAAGGAAAACTACCTCACCCAGACCTGCCAACCTTACAATGCTGAAAATACTACAGGGGATGCCAAAAAACACTACAACTGTGTGAAGAAATACGAAAACTGTTTTATTCTTCAAAAACTTGGTTCAGGTAAGAAAAATGCCTCAACTAGGGCACAAATACATCATACATTGCACAAAATGTCTTATTCTTTAGAAGTAGAAGGTATGGCCAACACTTATGATGTTGCAGCTTTTGCTTTTCTTAGAAAGTTCTACTCAAACACTTGTTCATGGCACTTTCCGGACTGGCTGCATGTCACAACTAACAACTGTTCAAGAGTTTTTTTCGACATAGAGGAGCGGAACTGCGTGTGTGCCTTCTTCACTTTGCTGAAATCTCTTTCGCCTGTGCCTGGTTTAACGAAGACGTTAAAGAGCAAAGTTCTTGCTCTTTAACGTCTCCACAACAATTGCTGTGAATGGCACGTTGTGTTCGATCAAAAATGACGTAAAAAGGCATTCTGCTCGGGTAGTGTCGTAATTCGTTGATCGACTAAAGTACCCTCCAAGCTTCTCGTTGGTTTCAACTAATATTGCAGAGTCCTTGAGCTTTTTTGTATTCAGATGACACAGAATGTCCCGGCGACCAGCGTGCGAAATGTTGACATCGCAGCGACACAGACTACCAAACCCGTACCTTTCGCCCTTACGCGACGTCTTCATAAATGGAAAGTCGGTTGAATAGCTGGGAATAAACACTTGAAAGTATTTCTTTCCCGACATCTTGTACCAAACGTGGTTTCAAGAGATCATGAGTAAAAGTTCCAGTAACAGAACGCACAACGTCACCACAAGTAACGTCGCCACAACAAAGGAGATTTCCTAAACAGTTTTGGATTAAGATGGATGGATGGATGTTAGCGGCTATACCACCCCTTACAACACTGACCTCAATGACAGTTGCCTCACAACAAGGAGCGGTAGCTTGCGCCTCCTAGCATACAAGTCGATGGACCAGTGTTGCCAACCCCAACTTGTAAACAGGCAAGATGCAGATTAAACAAACTTTTTTTTTTTTTTTTACACAGCGTGGGGAAAATTGTACAAATATTGTTGGTAATACGATAACCGTAAGAAAGCGCTGGAAAGCAGACACTTTACGATAAAATCGTAAAACTTTGCAGGTATGCTCACCCCATCACCAACTACCAGACGCCCTTCTGCATCAGTGTTGTTGATCTCAACAGTTCTGAAAGTAGGTCAAACATAAAGCAATGTCACTTGGCCGGTAAGCATTGAAAAAGACTTGCATAGCAAGCTGGTAAACCAGGCTGACAAATACGAACAATGTCTGTCATCCAGTTTAGCGAAAAATATAAAATGGCCCTCAAAAGCACAGCTTCAAACAGTGAAAACTTAGCCTGATTAAAAACAGCATGCTTGCAACCTTGGGAAGTAATCCATTACCATTTCAAGTAATTGTGTAATTGCCAAGAACATTTATAATTACTGTAATCTAACTACAAAATATCTGGTGCCGGTTTTCATAGCTTGTGTGTGCCTGCTTGTGCCCTGTTGAGTGCACTTCTCACTGAGCATCTGTGCACCGCAGGAAGTAACACCTGCAGAAGCAAGCTCCACGGGAGTCGCCTCTCTGCGGTGCACCGGTGCTCGGAAAGAAGCCCACTTAACGGGGTCGCAAGAAAAACATGTCTGAATTACACGAAAACGCCGTTCGAATTAAGCATCTTGTGAATACATTAAAAACATAGCGGGACAACCAAAATTATTGAATTTGTTTAAATTAACCATAAGTATGAAATATCCGAGCTTGAATTATCACGAGCCTACTGTACATTGTTTTTCTTCTTTCTGGGGCAGGAGAATGTGCTCAGTGTCTGTGTGTGACTTTCACACCTTCACACCAAGTATAGTGCTTGAAACTCTGAAACCACGAGTGAACAAGCACGGACTGATCAAATCTTCGTAATTATTTGATCATGTGCACCACTAGAATCACTAATCATTTCAGTAATAGTTCATTAAACTGCAGCATATTTTAGGTGATGGCACATGACTGCGTAGAAGGAACAAGGTGAGCAAATGATAGCCCCTACTTATACCTCCCATATTTCCACAACTTATCAAGCCGAGCTCATGCATGGTGGCAAAACTGTATTTTCTGTGCACATTTTTTGTCAATACCTGAGAAAGAAGCATGGGTACAAGCATACAGAATTCAAGAGAGCTTTGATATGTGCAAGTTGCCACAAAACCAAAGCTCTGTCCAAATGTGTGCTCGTATTCATGCCTTTTTCAGTATCTGCACACAACTTCACTTTTTGTCTACATTAAATAATTTTTCTGGAACGACCACGATAAAGTTGATCAAGTGGACAATGAAAAGTAGAGTAGTACTTCAATTCCTGTTTTAAAAACACTGAGTTTGTGTCTATTTATATTGTGAGAAATGTGTGGGTGAAGTAACATGAAAGCTATTTGTAACGTAACAAATAAAGTAATAAATGATTTTATAATAAAAGTAATTAGTAATGGTAACCAACTACATTTAAGACTGAGTAGCTTGTAGCTGCAATCAATTCTATTTTTTTCAAGTAATGGGCACAAATCTGCATGTCTGGTGTCTCTACTGTACGGTAGCAAGAGTAAATTAAAAAAAAAAATGTAAATGAATGTTTTAGTTGGGCATTTTACAGGGACTTGAATCCCGTGATGAGAAGAGACGAGGCCATTTGCTGTGGCAGTTTGCGTGGAGGTTTGTCGCGCATGGCTGGCCACCAGCCCTGCGTGTGTGAGCACAACAGCAACAGGGAAGAGAAGAGCATGAGGCCATGTCAGAGGCAGCAGGACGTAGAAGTGGAAGGCCGTTAGGCGACAGACCCGAACTTTTCCTAGCTTCCCCTTTGCCTGGTCCTAAGCTCTTGCAAGTTCTAAAACTCCGCTGAACGCTGGTGTACGTGTTCCTGGGCACCTCTGAAGACCACGGCAGCGCCATCTTCCCGGGCGTGCCACCCCGGACGCCGATGGTGCCCCACTTCTACCCCAAGCCTACCAGCCTCAATCTCAGCCCTGAGCTCATCAGCACTTACTTCCATCACCCCAATACCCAGTGCCCTACAAGACAGTGAACTAATAAGTTTCTGAGTGAACTATCAAGTTACTTTTTGGCGAGCCTTTACGGAAAAATGCCTCTACTACGAGCAATCTTTATTGGAATGTTTATATGTCTGTCTCATCGTAGGGCATATCTTTTAATGCTTGCTTAATAAAAAGTGTTCTTTTTGCGTGTGCAAGTGGCCTCGTCTCTCTACATTGCAGGAATCAAATCCCTATAAAATAGAATATAAAAGCCATGAACCTTGTATAACCCTTAAGGTCACTCTCCTGACGTGCACATATCACATAATTTTGTATCAGCATGCTAACACCTCAATAACTGCTTGCTCTCTATATAAATGGGAATACTGATGGCTCATCATGCTCAATAGAACACATCAAGCAACAGTCTCTCAGCCCTGATAGAGTGCATGATTCACTGGAGGACAAAAAAGAATAATGAAAAAGCTCTGCGGTCCTCGAGAAACCCAGCACTTAGAATCAGGAGTGTGAGAATTAGTAAGTTGAATTTAGTGAGGCATTTGGTATGTGGTCACTGTAGATACAATTTGAAGAAAAAGTTTCAGAGCACAAGAAACTATCTATGGAAAAAGAAGAGCTGTGATGTACACTGATGCAGAATAAGAATGCATGAAACAATGATTTTCTTTCAGCCAGTTTTCAACTTGTTCTTTTCGTTCATAATTTAAGACAACCCTGAGACAGGGGAAACAAGAAGGAAAAACAAGAAGGCCCTCAGTATGAGGCTTCGTCGTGTTTCTCCTTCTTGTTTCCCGTCTCAGGGTTATGATAAACGTAAACCAGCTTGCCTGCATCTTATCACTCATTTCAGTAATTCTTTTCGTGCTTGCGGATTGGCGATTGCCTAACAGCAGCGTTGTTTGGCTAATGCAAGCACCTGCCCTTCACCCCTTCCCTAGCAATAATTCTTAAAAAACAGGTGCTTAAAATCCTGTAAAAATGGTATACACGCGAAACAAAAACTAATACGAAAATATTTATACTCAAACTGCTAGCAAAACATGTCAATACCGCTAAGGGAGTGAGTATGGTCAACGAAAATGCCAGGCCAAACATTTGAGAGATATCCATCACCTACTTTCCTGAGTACATGGTGATGATGTCATCTGGTCGGATGGCATTCGGACCCACTGCATTCTCAGCCAAGCAAAAGATGGCGTGGAGGTTATCGCTGAATCCCTATAAAATGAACAGAAACAGCGTCCCGACACAATAGCAATAAGTCAATTGCACATTTGTCAGCGTTTATTAGTTGGAAAAACCTGCACACACTTTTTGACTCCCACTTATTCTGGGAAGCTACCTAATTCACGGACCATGGAGACCAAAAATGACTGCACTGCAACCTCTCTGTGGAAACAAGCCAGGAACGAAGGCCTTTCTGCTCAATTCAAAGATTCCTTTCCGAGAGGCTCACTAACCCTTTCATGGTCACTGGCGTACCTGCGTACGTCAGTGCGGGAGCGTCCCGCATGGCTGCTGACGTACATGTACCGTCCGCAACTGCTCATTAAAAAATTCCCGCCTCTGCTTGAACGGGCGCGTTCGGGGGGCGTGCTGCCATCTGGCAGGCACGTAGCCAGGATTTTGTTTCGGGGGGGCCATTGAAGACAAAATGCTGTATGAAGGGGAGGGGGAAGAGGAGGTCCCAGCAAAATAGAAGATTTCGGGGGAAACCCCCCCCCCCCCCCCCTCTGGCTACGTGCCTGCCATCTGGTAGGTTTGTTGGGAACTACGACCATATAATTCCGGTCATGTCTGTTTTGGCGCGGCTTTTTGAAATTGCGAAACTGGACGCTCTGTGCAAGTGATACTTTCGAGATGGCTGCGCCTGCGGACTGCTCTGGAGGTAGTGTAGCGGAGATTGCAGTGCGGGCTCTTTAAGTTCAGACTTTGAACCCTTCTTGGACTCTGAGTCGGATGACAACTCGACATCCGACCAACAACTGGAAACCAGCTCGGGGTCGGAGTTCGAAGTCCGACACACAGCCGCACAATCTGCTAGACCATCTCGGAAGCGGGTGCCTAGAAGTTTTAGTCCTTTTTGTTTTGTTCAGCCTCCAGCGAGCGTGCCGTAGACGTTTTGAAGTGTGTGTACTATGTTTATTTTTAGTCCTACATTCTTTTATGCATCAATAAACTAGTGTATTCTCTTTGCAGAGTAAAAAAAACCCGACCACGGGGGTGTGTCTTTAGACAAAAAATGTGACCATGAAAGGGTTAAAAGTATCTGATATGGGAATTTCTGTACAAATGCCTAGGTGACTGGAAATTAAAGTGGGCATCATGTGGAAATTCATGCACTGCCATGTGATAATGATTTACTGGCGATGCTTCACTTCGCATGGTCTCTACTTTCTTCAGAAATGTTGCAGGCGATCTGTATGTCTGTTTCAATACGACCTGAATGCAAAGAAGTGGATTTTTCCTTTCTGTGCCCGCAGAAAGCGATCGAGGCTTCTCTGCATGCGCTCTCTGCTAGATGGGAGCAGCTTCTCGCCAACTGCGAGAAGCTCAGATTGAGAAGAGATTCCGCGAGCTACGTACGAACCGTGTCGACAGCTGCGACTGCCGCCGTGGAGGACGCTGGCGGTGGGACAGCAATCTTTACGTTTATGCACATTTCGTCGAGGATGGCACGCTTTTGGTTCAAGGAGAATGCTTTTTTGTCTTCCCCGTCAAGGTGCCGGCGGTGCCGGGACTCTCTATCATTGAGTGGCAATGATTCGTCGAAACGGTGCTTGAGCAAGGGTAGACTTTCGCGCAAAAGCAGTCACACCAACCAGCAACGCCGACACGGAACACAAACCAAACGAAGCGTGAACAGCACGGAGACAGAGTTCACACTCAAGCTCGTCTTTCGTCGGTCACGTGGTTTGTGGGCCACATTTGCAAAGCAAGCTGCAGCATGAGGAGTCAAAACTCAAAAGTAATCACGTTCTGCAAATGTGTCCGCCTTTCCGCCCAGTTTCCTCGCCACAATGGCCAAGCGACAACCAAATGCAGGCGTACCTGCGCCAATCTGAAAGGAGGCGTCTGCCATTTAATTGCAAATGCTTTCAATGGTTGGAGTTGCTCCCTTTCTTAAATCTTTGCTCTCTATGTCATCTTTGCCGGTATGTTGTCGTTAGCCCTCCGAACGTCTCTATCAGCCTGCCATAACAGCTTCTCTGCGTGTGAAGCGGAAAAGTTGCTTCCCAGGGAGCACACGCCGATGCAGAGCCTGCAGCCGCCGGCCTTTGCAGCATCGTCTGCGGCTTGTTCTGGGTGGCTGTTCGGCCACGGCAGCATAAGTGCGGAGGCCCGAAACTTAGTAAACTTTCCGAATTCTATAATTTTTTTAATTACCGCAAAATTTCTCTTCGCTATATCTGCAGGAACCAGTCAATTCCCTTCGCTAAAAACAGGCACAAATGCATTGTAAAAAATGGACACATCTCCACGTGGTAAATGATGTTGATTGGGGCGAAGCTCTGGTGGTGCTGATGATACTGATTTTATTGTTCATAGGTAGTGCTGATGGTGCCGATTTTTTTTATTGCTCATAGGTAGTGCTGAGTTCCAGGCTGCGTTTCGACTTCATTATTACTGCTTTATGGTCGGTGAAATGCAGAGCCAGTGGTTCTTCTAGCGGATCAGCTTGGATCCGCCAGAAGCCGTGGGAACGCATCTCCACCGCTTAAGTCAACAGTCCATGTCAGAAAGACAATGTGTGGTATGGATCGTGGTTATATACACAGTTGAGCATTTGACCGCAGCGCCCTCTTGTCTATAAACGTTGAGCCAATGCATGCAAAGTTTAATGTGATTATATGCGCATTTGACCGCAGCGCCCTCTCTTGTATAGACGTTGAACGGCTACATGCAACGTTGGAGTGTAGCGTAGTGATTAAGACGTCTCACTCGTAAGCAAGCGGTCCTGAGTTCAAACACCCATGCGGGCATACGTTTTTTGTTTTTTCTAAAGTGGGCCGATCCCAGAGGCAGTGCAATCGATCTGAGCACGGACGCCGGACAAGGCTAGACCCTAAGGAGCTTCGCCCCTAAAAGTGCAACCGGGAATAGGAAATCGTGATCGCTTCGCTGTAGCCCCTATTTTGTTATAACCAACTTCGTTATAACCAACCGGTCTCGACAGTACATTGTTTACAGGATATGGTCTACAAAAGGCTGGACAATACTTGACAAGCACATACACGTGGCACCGGCTCCTGCTCTACCGCTTCTCCACGGTGCGTTTTGTGATGCAGAAAGAAAAAGTTGCCGAAAAAACAAAATCGAAAAAATTAAAAAATGCACAGATATCCAGTTGAGCACACATGGGACACCTGGGCGCCTTTAAACCCGTTACGTGCTGCTGCGAGAGGAGCACTTGGACGCACAAGCCAAACGGCTAGTTTGGTAGTTGCTGTTAGTTGAAAGCGGTTGACTGGGTTGACAACACAGCCGCTAGTTGGGTGTTTTTCACTTCGCTGTGGCTCAGGTTGCGTGTGGCTAACACTCGACCAGCCACGCAATTTGGCGCAATATCGCGAATTTTTATCAAGATGGCACAGGAAATCGCCTTTGGCACAAAATGACACATTTGGCTCAGGAGTGGAATCACTGCACATCACTTCTGCCAGTCCAGAAGGGGTCCCCGTAAATGTCAATGGTTGAGAATCAATGGTTTATCGCAAGAAAACATACTATCAGTGTATTCTCTCCTCATCTTTTTTTTTTTTTTTTTTCTTTTTTGACGTTTACCAAGAATTTGAAAACTGAAGTCTACACAACCTGGCCACGTCGCCTCTGTGGTTACTAGCGTTCATCAAAACAGGTGGCACAGACGCAGGTGACTGTGCTTTAAAAAGAAAAAACTTTTTTCCCAGTCTGCCACGTTACTTTGTTTCTTTCTTTTCTGCATTTTGTATTGCTGGTTAGTTCCAGGGACATAAAAGCACAAACCTCCTTTTGCGCATGAGGGTAGTTTGCCAAAAATCGATGCTCAGAAATTTGCCTGCCCCCCCCCCTCCCTCCCTTCCCTTCCCTTCCCTTCCCTTCCCTCCCCTCCACCCCACACTCCTCTCTATCCAGCCTCTAACTCATCCCACACGGAAGTGCAAACCACAATGCACATGACAGACTCTGTCAACGTCAAACTTGCAGACTCACAAGCTTGACAGCTGCGTAGAAGGCCCCCAGAATTCCGGCAGCTCCACCGCAGTCTCTCTTCATCCCACACATGGCAGTCTAAAATTAAGAAATTCTTTCAATCACAGGTCTTGGAATGTCTGGAAGTCATGTCAATACAGTCGTCTAACATAGTTACTACGGATTTTGAACACCACACTATATAATCTCATATTTATGCATCCTCAAAGAAGCCTTACAACTGAATATTTTATAGCTAAGCATGTATCGGCGAAATGCGCGACCTAAAATTTTGCTGTGGTCAGATTTTCACGATTGAAGTTGCTGCTGAGCCTGCAATGACTACAAGCATCCACTGTGCCCTTTACAGACACCACCCCACTTGTTCATAAATGATGACGAGTAGTCAAGATTATGACCACTGAGGCAAATACTGGACATGACGTCCCGGGTAGGAACCATAAGGGGATGACATCAAAATAGCTTTCCTTCAATACTGCAAGACTACTGCATAACGAAAATTAGCTAGATTAACAACTGTAAAACAATCGTGAAAAATAAAATTCATCGTTACAGGTCTCACATAACATATTTTCAATACTCAAAAGTTCTGCACCTCTTAATTTGTCAAAAAGAATGCTCAAGCACATGTCAAATACAGTCGAACCCGGTTATATCACACCCGGGTATTTCGAATTATTGCTTATATCGAACAGTCCAAAAATCCCCTTGAAAATCACATGTAATAGTATAGGAGCATTGTCTTTATGTATCGAACTCCCATGGACCCCCATGGCGGGGACACTCGATATAGTGAACGAAGCACGGCGGCCCTTCGCTTCTCCCGCGGTCAGATTGCTCCCGCAGAGCAACATAGCTCGCGTTGCCGTGCTGGCAGACCGCCAAGCCAGCATGCGCGCATAAAGGCCCGTTCACACTCTTGCGACCGAGTACGACTGAGAGAGACGAGATCTCTTAAAACTTCTTAAATGTTTTTAGAATGAGGGAACACACTGACATTGTGGCGCCATCTATGCGGTGACCCTGGAACTGCATTTCACAAGAGCGAAGGTTTTGCGGGATTTCCGAGGTCAAATGTGCGTAATACCCATAGAAAGTCTCGTTTATAACATTGACAAAAGGTTTTCGAGCCAAGAAAGAAAGGATAATGCGCGAGAAATAAAAAAAAAAATATGCCGGACCGCCGAGTTTACACTGCTTCCCAATAGATGGCGCCAGTGTGTTTTCTGGTTTAAGAAGTTTTAAAGAACCCAGGTTTAAGAGGTCGCAAGAGTGTGAACGGGCCTTAAGGGACCTTACACGCGCGCACGGGGATACTCAACAAAAAAGCAGTAAAAAAAAAGTGGAGGATGGCAAAAGCAAATGGAAGGGCACGCGCGCGCGTAGAGAGGGCAGAGAGTGTTCCTTAGACCAAAATAAAATAAGAAAAAAAAGTCTTCGTCAAGTCCAGTCTGTCGACAACGGTTGAGCAATCGCACTTTGAACCCTTATCTTTGTTTACCTTTTTCTTTCGCCGTTCTTGCTTCGCGCGTTTTTTTTTTTTTTCTTTTTGCTTTTCTTTTTTTGCTGCCTGAATTTAGTGAGGTTTCTTTTTTGTCGCTTGCTTAACTTTATTCTATGGATCGAGCGTTTTTTGTTTGTTTTTATGTGGCTCACTTTTTCCGTTCTTCCATTTTTTTTTTTTTTTAATTCGTGTTTTGTCGCCGGTGCTGTGCGGAGGTCGCGCGCGCGATCGCAAACACCGTTTACGCGGCGGTGTTTGTGATCTTCAACTAAGCTCTACTGTATTTAGCGGCTCTTTTTGGTAAGTAAGGTTCTGCTTGTCGCGGCTTTCGGTACTAGCAGAGACGCGCGGAAATATCAACTGGAGCTTAAGTTAACATATTTTTGTATATCAAATTATCGATATATCGAACTATTTTAGGATCCCCTTTGAATTCGATATATCCGGGTTCGACTGTATGCACTGCTCTAAGAGCAAGACTTGGTCTTGGAAAGTGCTTCGCTTCCACATTGTAGAAAACGTTTTCCTTGCTACTGACAGACAAAAAACAAATTACACATTGCCCTATTCAAACATTTGGTTGGATGCTGCATTGATGAATGTTCATCACAGGTGTGCTCAGGTGAAACCAAGAATCATTTCCTCACCAAATTTGTAGGAATATAAGATTTTACCCAGCATATCTCACGCAGCTTCTTAAAAAGAATTCGGCGTATGCTAAATGCTGAAGTGACCATCATCATTACTGAGTGTGAAATTTGATTAACAACTCAAGTAACCACGCAGGCCACACAAAAATGCTAAAGGGGCTACGAACAGCCTGTGGGCAGTGGTATCTGCAACCGTAGGAGTCATCAAGTTTGCAAATTAAGAGAAATAGAAGCTTTCCTCCACTGTACCTTGGTCTTGATGCAGAGTCCCCCAGTGTCGTAGACAATGCCCTTGCCCACCCAGGCAATGGTGTCCTGAGAACCCTCGGGAGTGTGGCTCAAGACAACCAATGCCGGAGGATGCGTCGCAGCACGCCCCACAGAGTACATTCCTGAAAGAAAATAATGTTGCTTAGGGTTCGATTATGCCAAGTGTCAGATGGCACTCAGAGGCACACATAAAAATGTTGGCAATTCTAAAGCAGAATCATTTTGCCTTTCACTACTTACAAGAGCACTTCTACAAGAATGACAGTTCTATTCACACTTAAAAAAGGTGCAGGAATCTGTTTGCTTTCAGAAAAGGAATCAGACTTTTCCAAGAGAAAAATGCTCTTTTCTGGAAAAATAAAAACCCAAGTGCTCCACCACGTGACGATACACCAACTCATGTTTATAACCCAACCGGAGCGCCCCTAGCAGACGCCACCGGCGCCGCGCATGCGCGATGGGGGTGTGGGCAAGAAACTCGCTGTCGCCCATAAACAAACCATTGAAATGCAATGTTGTCGGCGTCGGTGTGAGTCCACCGGCCCTTTTTCGTGTTTGAATTGTTGATTCTATGTCTTCCTGGTGATGTCTGACTATCTTGAGTGGCGTCAGCGAAATTACCGAGACTCGTTACACCGCAAAACTTCGCATGAATAATGTGACATGTGGCGCTTCATTTCGCGTGGACGCCGCAGTATGTACGCTAAACCCTGATTCGCATGATGAGATTTCGCTTGCAAATTTCAGTCGCAACGCCACTCGAGCTGCAAAAGCGTGAACCGTAGCTGAGATGGTCGACGTCGATACTGAAAATCGCAAGCAGAATCGGACCAAGTGAATTAGGCATAACAAGTCGGTGATGGTCACCGGTAACAATGATCAACATCTCCTTGTATCTACGGTTTACATCAAGCCTGGTTACCAACCTTCAAATTTAATCTTTTGAGGCCTGCACTTACTTCTTATCGCAAGTACCGGGTCAACATTTGGTCTAAGGGCCAGCGTCGTCTAAGAGAGCAGACGACAAGCAGAAACGTTTGAAAGAGCAGACGACAGTAAGAACGATCAGTCGGTCGTTTGAACTTGAAGACACACTGAACGTAGTCCACAGGTGGTCCGCACAACTTGATGGTTTCCTGGCGTTCATGTTGGAACAAAACAAATAAATCTGATGACCACAAGTATCCGTGAATACAACCCAAAGTGCTTCCCGCCCAAGCAATCGTTGTCCGACGGCGTCTGCTTTTCCCTTCTCACGGTACATATCCAGACTCTCGGACGAACTGAGCACGTGAAAACTGACCTTCAAACCTTTCTCGACACTTTTGGTATGGCCCCAGTCACGGCGTTTTGACGAGAAGGCAGGTTTTTGTCTGGTTCCTTTCAAAACAACGCAGGAATACACGTCTGGCATGGAGACTTCTGCCCACAGCCCCAGGCCGAAAGTGCGACCGACGCGCCACCACCGCGCCGTGACGTCACAGAGTTGAGTTTGTGTAGAGACTTTTTTCACAAGGGCGCCGCCACCTTGAAATATCGTCACTTCCAGTATGGGCGAAAACATTGCTTTGCCGTCACTACGCCAATAGAATGCATTTAGGAGATAAGCGTAACCGTCACCCATTCTCGTTTTGTCTCCCTCTATTTTTTTTTTTTCTGCTATGTCCAGGTTGAAAAGTTTTAATATTTTTTCGTCGCCCATACCGTATATGCCTACTTGGTGGTCAGGGGCGAGAGTAAGCGGAAAAGGTCTATACCAAAGGTGGCCAAGCTGCGGCTCTTTGCGTGTCAAAATGTGGCTCGCTTCTTCTTCTTCTTCTTCCCCCCCCCCCCCCCCCCCCCCACTCCCGGTCACACGAGCACTTCCCAAAAAGAGAAATGAAACGCGTTTAGATCGAAAGACAGGATGCAGTTTGGTAGTCTTGTGCTATTACTACCTTACGCACAGTTGGACTGCTTTTGAAACAAATAGATTGAAAGTAGTTTGAGTTTTGTGTAGTATTGCTCTGGAAAAGTGTTTGCCCCCCCCCCCCCCCCCCTTCCCTGCGGCTCTTGGAAGCTTTGTGGTTTTGATTGCAGCTCTTAGGCCAAGTCAGCCTGGCCACCCCTGGTCTATAGATACATTACTTGATTTTCAGAAAAAATAAAATCCATTTTGTAAGAATGTCTAGGAAATCAAAAGTTGTTGCTGCAAGTTTTTTTAAAGCAAAATGTATAAAGCCCTTTCTGCCCTTCGGAAACGATGTTGAATCCTTGACAAATTGAATGTTACCGGAGTCTATTTCTAAAAACAATTGAATTCACTGACCTCCAAAGCCTCTGCTGTTGAGTTCTTCTCCCTTGATGATCGTGGGCTTGAGACCCAGAGCATTGCCCACATGTTCAATTTCCTGAGAAAGAATTCATGCGATCATAAGCATTGTTCAAACTGCAAATGTATAATCCCCAAAATAACTCGACGCAGTTTACTCGCTGCAAGCAAAACTACTAACCAAATAAATTTAATCGGCCTCCTTGAGTTCTATACCTCGATCGAATGAAAAATGAATCACAATTCGAAATAGTACGACCAAAATAGAAGAAACAGCAATTATTAGCTATTAAGAAAATAATGCAGTCTAGAGGTTTATTGCACGACACAAGGGACAATCACAAGCGAGTAGACACGGACAAGCGCAAACTTTCAACTAGTTGATTTGTGCTCGATCGACCACGAACATCCAGAAAGAGCATGCGCAGCACGCTAAACAGGAGAGAACGGAAACAGATAGAAAAGTCACCCACCCAGACACATTCCACAATAGTCATTGTCAAACCAGCAACCCGGATAAAAACTGTACTTGTTTGAAAGTGAAGTGCAGTTTTTATCCAGGTTGCTGATTTGATAATGACTATCGTGGAATGTGTTTTGGTGGGTGACTTTTCTATCTGTTTTCTGTTTCCTTTTCCTTCTGTTTAGCGTGCTGCACATGCTCTTTCTGGATGTTCGTGGTCGATCGAGCACGAATAAACTAGTTGAAAGTTTGCACTTGTCCGTGTCTACTCGCTTGTGATTGTCCCTTGTGTCATGCAAAAAACCTCTAGACTGCATCATGAACCAACTAGGCCAACAACAAGTTTTAAGAAAATAATGATTTCCAATATTTCATAGAAGCTAGGGGAGCAGCAACCCCCCCCTGCAAGGGTCGTGCTTCAGTCAATAATAAACACAATGAGAGAAAAGTAAAATTACAAGAAGGCTATCACCCAGCATAAAATGCAACAAAATCTCCCTACGACTCCATACAGGACAAAACTCCATCAGCTTCAGGCAGTTTTCCGCTGCAATCAGCGAGGCTGAGAAACCCTCTGGTTATCCCCGCATCAAACGATGAAGCAAACCCTTCGACCAACCAATAAAGATGGATTGATCAAAAGGTTCCCACCAGGTTGAAGTGAACAACACAAGACAAAAGCTCGCCGTCTCTAGCATACGGACTTTCGCCCAATTTCTCGCCACGTCCCGCCGAACCCCGCCAACAGAGCCACATGCCTTGATGAAGGCCTCAGTGTTCATGTCCTGACAGGGAGTGTCCACGATCTTGGCCGTGAGCTGGATGCCCTCGGCAGTTGCGCTGAGGCAGCGCAGGTCGGAGTCCCCGAGAGGGCGGCCCCCGCCTGAATCGACCAACAGGAACTCCACTGTCACAGTGTGTGGCTGCTGGCTCGGCCCTTGCTGCTGCTGCAAGCCGGACTTGCGGCTGAACACCGGGAAGGCCCGGGCAACGGCGCAGCCGCTTGCAAACACGTCTTGCCGCTCGCACACAATCTGCAGAGGGTAACAAGAAGCAAGTTGGGCAGACTCCAACCACGTGGCTGCATCTACCGGGGATAATCCTCCAGTTATCCAACAGCCACAATCTCGTCGTCTCAAAGCTACACATGTTCGCCTCCTTAGAATTGAAAATAGCTTTGCTCGTCGTGGCAGAGTGTGTGCTAACAACAAGCTCTGGCCACGAGCCTTTCAAGTTAATAGACATGTCATTCTTTTTTTTCTTTTTATTAGACGATAAGTTACTTCATCCACACCATGTGGCACTGACGTCATATGAATGTCTACAATACTTCACCCACCTTCAAGGTGACAATGGAACAGGTTCAACACCACGAGCTCTTTCTCCTCTAAGAATGTGCTTCAATCATGCAAACCTCCATGCAGGAGGTTTCTATGGTCAATTTTCCTGAACCTAGAGTGAGGCTCTATCACCTAACAGGGAAGCTAATTTTCCTCGAAAAAGGCAAAGGAACTTACCACTACATACTCGTCAACACCAGCACTAAGACTCTTGACAAGCTTGGTGAGAGAATGGGCGTGTGATGGGGTGTTATGCCGAGAACATTTGGTTGGCAGGGCAGCCAATGTGGCAAGGTTCAGGTACATGGAGCAGCTATCTGTTGGAGAAGGATGCAATGAGGCCACCGCTGCCTTGAACACCTGCAAACAAAAAACACGGTGTTACAATCAAGAAATCTCAGGAGCCTTTATGAACACCTGAAAAGCTAAGAAAAGGAATACAGCCCAAGTCCGTTTTAATTTCACAGGCTCAAAAACTTTTATACTAGTGGCAAATAAGAATGAGCTGGTCCATGATTTCACTAATCATGGGATGCTGCATTGATAAATCTCACTTAAAATTGTTTGCTGTAGTTCATTCGTTGAAGAAAACAGAGGTTGGACAAATTTCCTTTTTCCTCATCAAAGAAAAGAAACTTAATCTTTTTTAAGACTGTCATTGCATGCAACAATCACCTATTAGTACTATACAATTATTGCTACAGCCAATTTACCAATGCAGTTAGTGCTGAGTGGGCTGAATGCAGTGGTCCTTACAAACTTCCAAGTGGGCTTCCGCAGCAATGCCATAAATCAAATTTTTACATAACCTCTCCCTACAAACATAAATTTGCATTTGCTTCATCTGAATTAAAAAATGCTTGCAGCTGGCAAACGTGTTACATGATGTGCAAAGTTGCAGGATACATTACCTCTTCCCCAACGCGCGGATCCAATTTGGACTTGACATCGTCAAAGCTGATCTTTGACAAGTTTCTGGGCTGCCCAATTATTAGCACAGGCTGGTGGAGAGGATCGCTTGGAGTCAAGTGTCCATTGTACTTGATGATAGCACTGGACATTCTGCAACAATAAATGTTGTAGACACAATAAGTAAAGTACTGCTCAGTGCCACAGTTACCTGGTGCATCAGCCTCCAAATGTGAGGTTTCTCATTAGTTAAACATATTTTACAATTACATAGAACCTGGAATGACAGGAGAGCCGAGGCCCTTTTTGCCACGTTATCTTTCCTGGGGCCCACTTCAGCTAGGAACAAGCAATCGTAATTTAAAGCTGAGACAGGATAAGATAACAGCCTAAGCATTCCAAGAGCTACATGCAATTAAAGGTGATCCAAGTTTAAGGATGAAATATGAAATATATAAAGGTTTCACGGAAACTGACAGAAAATTACTAGTTCGACAGTGAGCTGTTTAATTCGAATTCAGCATTTAACTGAATTTCGGCTTTTAGTGGGTTTTGACGTCGACTGCAAGCTTAAAAGTACCCTCGTTAATCACGTCCAATCCTCCCAGCTTAACGGCTGTGTGGAAGTACAGCAAAACATTCGCCAGAAACGCGAATCATAGCAGCCGTAAAGGGCGTTTCGTCGCGCTACTCCGACAAATATAAAGGGCAGCGTTACTTTAAATTCCGCAGTCTGCAACCGTCTCCGGATGCCCTTCTTGACTTATGCTCCATTCAGCAGAGTCTTCGATTCCACCGGAATCGGGCGGTAAACCAAATGAAACGAGGATCGACCACCGCACCTCTCTCGAAAGACAAAAGATTCAAGCTCACGAGACGCCGCAACAGCGCGAGGCATCAAATCCGCCGACAAACGCGCACGTAACACTTTGTTGTCGCTTCTTTTTTCTATTATTTTTTTACGATGTGCCTAGTGCGGGTTTTATTTGAAATGTAGGGAGATCGAATATTGCCAAACCGATCAACTTCCGTCGGATATTGTGACCCCCAAAAACATTTTCTTTTTACGCGACAAAACGACAAAACCTTTAAATGCGCCGTGTACTCACTTTTTGCCGACGCCGACTGTCTCAATTTCAGAACGGTCAGACGGCCACACGACTCGCTCGCGAGACTCGGTTCACACCGGAAAGAAGCACCTAAGCCCGTTCCAGCGGAGGAGCTGATCGAATCACCCGAGCTTCGCCAACTCTGCGACTCTCCGATTGCCTCGCCTTATCAGAGCGATCAGATGAGCGATCAGACGAATCAGACAAACATTCAACAGCGCGGTCTGACTGACGCGTTCGTGACAACTCTCGCGCGATCCGCGGTCAACGCCGCCTTGGCCGCTGCCCCCGCTGTTCCGCCGTCACAACGATCACTGTACGAAAGTTATATATATTGCATATCATGGCCTGCGCTCAGCATTCGAAACTGTAGCGTGCTCAACATAGAGTAATATCTCGCGGAGATCCGACCAGATCCGACTGGCTCTGCTTCTGACCCTGAGAAATAAAATTCGTAAACAAAATGACAGTAAAAGCAACGAAAAACTACAGAAAAGGCGCTTGGGGGGAAAGAGTGCGTGAAGTCAAGCCTAAAAAGCGTGCGTCCAGAGCGGCGCTGGCAACAGAACACGCTCGTTGCTCCTACTTGACCGACAGTTGATATATATAAATTTTTTAATGCATTAACTTCATAAAAAAAAATCATAATTATTTCGTATTCATTTTTTATTTATTTATTTACCTAGACTGCCCGCACGGCGGCACGGCGTGGATAGACACATTAGTTTCTATGCTAGGTGACGCAAGCTACCGCCCATTATGCAGTGTACAGCGGTTAGTTTTAGTATTTGTCCATCCAGAATTAGGTTGGTTTCTTTGCGCAGACGCAAGTGACGCAAGCATGAGTTTTTTGCCCCAGCGCCGATGTCGCCTGTGGGGTGATCCTGGGTGATCTCATTTTCATGTCTCTTCCGAGCGTGCACCGTAGAGATCCTGTTGCCACAACAAGGTATTTTCTTTATATGAAATCAGCAAGCTACACGCTACGATGAGATGATTCTGCACGTTGTACCAGATGCAGCGATAATTGCATTCCTATCCTCTTGGAAAGACTGTTACCAGAATCGCGTGCTGCCCAGTGCCGAAGATCAGAGGGCATGAAGATTTCATCCCCGCTATATTTATTGACTCGTCGTACACCGTGAAAAATAAAAATAAAATAGCGCCTTCGCGAGCATTATCGGCCCTCCACGATGGAAGACCCAGAAATCCTCACGATTGAGTGGGAAATGATGAACAAGTCGCGCTTCCTGATGTTCAGCATGATCAATTCATTCACCTTGCGCTGCCTCGTCTACCCGCTGACCGTTATCAAGACCAGACTCCAAGTTCAGAAACCGGGAAAGCTGTACCGAGGCACCGTGGACGCCTACTACAAGATCCTTCGGCACGAGGGCTTCGGCGGCCTGTACCGGGGCTTCTGGATCAATACCATTCAGATGTTTTCCGGCATCGGCTACATCTTCACGTACGAGAAGGTGCGCGACATGTTGTCCCGGCACGCCGACATCCACGACCGGCGGCTGAAGGGGCTCATCGCGGGCGGCTGCAGCTCGCTGGTCAGCCAGACCATCATCACTCCGTTCGACGTCGTCTCCCAGCACATGATGGTCCTGGGCCGGTCCTCCAAAAGCGGCATCATGGTCATGAACCCGCTCAACATCACCATTGACTTCAATAAGAAGCACCTCATCTTTGCCGCCATCGTACGCGAGCTGTACCGGAGGGACGGCCTACGGGGTTTTTATAGGGGCTACTTCGCGTCGCTGCTCGCGTATGTGCCGGGGAGCGCGCTTTGGTGGATGTTCTACCCGGTCTATTCGGACGGACTGCGGCGGGTTGTCCCGGACTGGACACCGCAGATGCTCGTGCAGTGCATGGCGGGCCCTATGAGCGGCATCACCGTCTGCCTCATCACCAACCCCATGGACGTTGTGCGCGCGAGGATCCAGGTGCAGCGGATGAATTCGGTCACACAGACCTTCTGGCAGCTATGGAACGAAGAGAAGATGCGCATGTTCCAGATTGGCCTGTCAGCCAGGGTCATGCAGAGCCTCATCAGTTCCTTCCTCCTGGCTCTGGGCTACGAGACGCTTAAGCGCTGGAGCGTCCACGAGGAGTACAAAGACAAGATTCGGTGGTAGACCGTTGCCCCAGCTTCGAGCCCTGCAGGTGGCTGGCGCTGTCCCTGGCCACAGCTGGTGCAGGCACGGGCAGCAGTTCCCACACTAGTCTGCCCCGGGCATCGCGAGGTTCAGATGTGTGCTATACTCTCCGGTTGCTAGGCCAAAGGGTGGAAGCTATGCCACTCTCCTTGTACGGTATTTGTAGTGCCTGATGCATAAAGAGCTTCAGCATGGGACGAGGAAAATTTGGACTAGTTTGTTTTAAAGTTGCAAATTTGGCATTCAGATTCTTTCATTGCCTCTCGACAGACTGGTCCATACCAGTTTGTAGTTATCAAGCAGTACAGGTTGTTTCGCAGTCACTGCACAGTCATATCTTTGCTTTGGAACTGTGTGCAATACAAGAAATACCGGTGCAATCGGTTGAATGGACATTTCTTCCTTTACAATGTGTCTTCTGGGGCAAATGGGGTGCATCGAAAGGTCACTATAAGAAATAAGCAGAGTATGTAAATTTGAGATGCACAAATTATGTAAGCAGAAGTGTGTGCGTTTTTTTTTGTTTGTTTTTTTCTGTTTGCAAGATGTTATAATTGAGCTTGAATTAGCTGACCGGACTTTTCAGATTATTACCAAAGGTACTTCGTTCATCCTTGCAAAGCTTCAAGGCCTTGCAGGGGTGACCCTTTGCAAATGCAGAGCACAGAATAGCCATGAAATGAAACATTTGTCTGTCTTGCAGGTCTCATTTTCCCCTAACAGTCATTTCAGGTTTAGTTGATGCTGCAAGAATGTACAACTGCAACAAAAAAAGAGTAGCACAAGTGACCAATGACCGGAGCTGCAAAATCGCAACATGCGGCGCTATTGTTCCATAGCATGCCGATAGCGAGAGTGTCAGTCACGTTCCATATCTCATCGCGGGGGTGGCCGGCAGAACACTGAGGGATAAGATAACTTTCGAAATTCGGGTTTTAGGATGGGCTGCTTTCTGCCGGCAACCCCCGCGTTAAGACATGGTACATGACTGGCACTCTCGCTATCGGCGTTCTCCGGAATAGCGCCGCATGTCGCGATTTTGCCGCTCCGAACGTCTGTCACTTGTGCTACACTTTTTCTGTTGCAGCTGTACTTCAAGGAAAAACCAGCACAATTGAATATTTCAGATTGCAATGATGGTGAACAAATGTTGTAAAGTTTTCAATCCCTGATTTGGGATTACCCTTGTTTCTCAATTTTTGTATTTAAAAAAAAAAGTTTTTTTTTACTGTCACAGCATGAAGTGTTGTAATGTCATTGTTACCGGGCTCAGTTTTCTAGTCCAAACATTGTGCTATGGATTGTTATATTTGTTATAGAGAAATTTGAATATTACTCCGTTTTGCCTTAACATGGACTGCAGCAAAGACTTGAAGTGCAGAAGTGTAGCTTCGATAGGTTCTCTTGCTGTGCAGGTGGTGATGTAGCCAAGGTACATTAGAAAGCATAACATTTGTGCTCGTAGCCCTCGCGGCTCTCCACGTTGGAGTCAAACGGAAGGGGAGAATCATCAATATTATTAACTTTTTGTTAGGTTTGCATTATGTGCACAAGTGCTTTGCTCAGGCATTCAGATACCACTTCATTGTTTGCATCTTTTGAAGAAACTTGACAAGGCAGAATGGTGTAGATAGAGAAACATTAAAGAGTTTTTATATGCCACAATGTTACACGGCTGACTGATGGCTGTACAAACACCCACATTGTAGAGCAAAATTAACTGTTGGGCTAGTTGGCTACACATTGTATAAAAATTCAAAAGCGCAAACACCAAGGTGTTTGCACCAAGGTGTTTGCGCTTTTGAATTTTTATAGAGCAATTCTACAGGTTTGTAGATTGGCTCATCGGTCACTCATGATTCTTCTATTGTGTTATGCAAATGTAAAACTTTGTATGCTGTAACAGATAAATGATGCAATGCAATTATTGCATATATGCAATGTTTGATTAAAAAAAAACAAAGAAAAACAGCACTTCCTCAAAGTATGTAATGCGCTCGATTTATGTGCAAATTCCATTTCAAAACAAAAGGGATGCTGTAATGGGTATGTACACTTCGTAAAACTAGCCAGCCTCAATCGGCAGTTGTCCAGTGGTTATGACACTTGGCTACCGAAAAGACACCAGCTCGCGGTTGGCAATCCTGACGATGGCATTAAAATCTATGTCCAAGTTGCTCCTCCAGAACCGGTGGACTCTGCCCCAGACCTGAGCTGGGAAGCAGGGGCTCGCAATGCCGTGGAATATTCTCGCCACTGCCCGACCATTGAAGGTGTGGTCTCTGTGCGTTCCGACCAGGCTCCGAATGTCTCTTTGAAGGCTAACCACAATGTCCTCCTGTTGGAAAAAAAAAAAAAAAAAAAAAGGTCTGTTTGAAAGATGTTGGATTCTTTGTAACAATGTATGAGACAGCATGATGTTGCAAAAGAGAGAAAACTTTTCAAACCACAACAGGATCTATACTATACAGATGGGTACCAAGCCAAGCGTGAGAACCATTTTTGAAGGTTTCAATCCCCTCGTCAATAATGCGTGCGGCATTAGGTTCAATCTCCACCCCTGCCAGTTTCAATCTGGATGAGCATTGTACTGGCATGTTGTTCTGTATCACCACTGCATGAAGCACACTGAAGACCTTAGGCCACGGTACAAGATAAATACAGTGATGGACATGCAGCACCGTGAACACTGCAACGCGATCGACCAGATAAAGTCCTATTGGTGCACGCCCAAGTAGCCTCTGCCGACAGTGTCTTTGCCAACCAAACAAAACGACCAAGAAAAAGAAAAAAATTGTTGCCATGGCACTTATGCATGTGCTTTTTCCACTCTGGGCACCTGCTCTGACCTGAACACCGCACCAGAAATCTCTCCGCTTCAATGCGTTTATAAAGCTGTTCTTGCCGCTGTTGAGACAATAAACCAGGGTCAATGACAAAGCTGTGATAAGCAACATGCGTAGCGGTAGTGCCAAGCTTTACATGATGCGGCACACCCAAAAACTGCTAAAAACAAGCATGTCTCTCGTAGAGAAGCATGGGAAACTGGGCTCATGACAGGCTACCATTAGCTGCTTATTGAAGAGTCATCTGGCGGCACCGATTCCAACCAAGACGAGGAGAGGATTTTACCTGGCAGCTGCAACGCGCGGTGTCCACATCTATATATCTTGTACCGTGCACCAGGCTAGCAGTCATTGCACTGGCTAATTTCACACCTATAGTGTAGACCAGTGTCTCCATACCTCAAATTAAGGCCAACATTGCACTGTCTAAAGACTTAACATCTAGTTTGCTTTGTTTTGTTGTATGCGACATTATTTCAAAATAAGAAATGGGAGCCTTGTACACTAAAACCTCCCTTTATTTTAAAACAAGAAATGGGAGCCTTGTACACTAAAACCTCCCCAACTCGTACACCTCAATTACCTTCATAGCATGTATCTGGGTTGGGGTTTCTATTTGAGAGGCATCTAAAGTGCAATTTGACTAGGTAGTTCTTTTGTTGTTGTTTTTTCTTTTTACTCTATTTGTATCTTGCTTGTGTCATTGATGAAGCAAATCTTAAACAATTTGCAGACTTATGAAGCCTAAAAGTTAAAAAAAAATGTCTTCAGAAGCAACAGAGGACAAGCTACCAATGTGATAGTTTCTATTTGGGGCTCATTAGACTTGCACATGGGTCTAATGACACAAGTCATTAGACTTGCACTGCTTCCAGATTGTGGATCTGGAAGCAGGCACCTTATGAAAGCATGCTATTGGGTACCTCCAGCACTATACTCCGTTAGCTGATGGGACAGAGAAGGCAACAAGAGCAAGTTAGTGTGAGCTCCTTGCTTTAAAATGTGTCTTTCTAGCACAAGCGCTTACTCTGCAAAAGTATGTTTAAAAATCTGCCATCTCGAGCTTGTAACCTTCACTTTTCTGCAAGCATAACAGTAAGCCAAGGATAGTAACAATGTCTTCTGAACACAATCGCCAGCAGTGGTGCAGCCAGAAATTTCTCTCGGGGGGGGGGGGGGGGGGGGGGGGGGGGGGGGGGGGGGGGGGGGGGGGGGGGGGGGGGGCTACTACTCTTCATTCACAATATGGATCGACAAGAAGGGCACTGGTGCAACTTTAGGAGAACCACAGCAGTAAAGTAAGAGTCGTGCCAGAGCCAGGGGAAAACAGCGTAGTTTCACTATGCAGTTTTCTCGCAAGGGAAACGCGTTGATCATGCACGGGAGACGTCAATGAATACGTCCAAAATGTTGACACACCGTAGTCCACCCCCTGAAAAATCGAGTGACTTGGAGTTTGGAAGAATAGTCTTATGAAAGGACAGTTTTTTAGAAGATGTGGGGAAAGGAGTGACATTGTGAATGATAAAGGCCAAAAATCAAGTAGATTCCCTTCCTTTCATCATAGTATTTTTTTTTTTTGGCTGAAACACAATGGGTGTTCACTCTCATGTTTTGATAGTATGCACAAGAAAAAAGGCAAACTAAATTAATACTTTTGGAAGGGTGTACCAACCCCCCAAACAACCGCCCAGGATAAGCTATGGTAGCCAGCGACAAGATTTATAGCACAATGCAGACCACCACTACTTACACTTGGTGGAGAGTTGTCTTCCTCAGCCTCTGAAGGATCCAGCTCCTCATTGAAGTACTGGTGTATCAGCTGCTTGAGGCTGTCGCTCTTCTTTGTGCTGATGTCGTCAACACACTCAAAGTAGCCTTGGTAGGCCACACTGAGTATAAGTATGATCAAATATGAGTTAACTTAAATCGTGTTCCACATCCAAATACAGGAATAATCATATACTCCGCATTCCATGTTCTCGGGTAAAACCATAAAAAACCAAGAAAAACACTCGCCAGAAAAATTTGTCAATTCCGATTTATCGGAAGAATTTAAATCTTCAACTGCACAAAAGTTTTTAAAAAAGTCAATAAGCTCCACACAAGTTTGGTCAGAGTGCAGGTCAGCAGCCTCGAGGAGAAGTCGCTCAAGTTTTGCTTCAAATCTCGGACAATTAACGTAAGAGGGGTTTTACCTCTATTCATTCAGGACAACTGCAGCTGTGAGGAGGAGGTTTAGTGGAGAGCATTGGATTTAAAAAAAAAATAGGAAGAAAACAAAAGCTTCTCTGCAACTATGTCCAAAAATTCTGTGGTTTTGAAGAATCGATGCCTAGTGAGGCAACTCGTGTTTATAAGTTTTGCCGTATGACAATTAGTATTAGCAATGACTACAACACCTAAGAATTGCTTGTGAAGCACCTACAATCACAACACCACAAAAACAAGTCTATATTAAAGTTTTTGTCAAATTTGTTTCTTTAGTACAGTATAGCAATAAGCTGCTTAGTAGCTCACAGAGTGCGAGGGCTAGTCCCAATTCACAGGTTTCGAAGCTTCCGATGAGGTGACTCGCTGCCAACTAAAACTCTTCCAGTAAGGAAGTTACCTTTGAAATGCAGCGTGAACTTGCTTTAAACGTTGAAGTTCCATACGTTCTTGCTTGTTGACTCTGTCGTAAAGGTAATCCAACAAGTCATCCCTATCTTCTTCCGACAAATCAGCGGCCACACTGAGATGGAAAGACAAGTCCGAAAACTCCACGATCACACCACTTTTCCTCATGTGTCCTGTGGCTGCAATAGAAAGAGAACTGGTGTTGATTGAAAAGACCACAAATTATTTGATTCTTGCACATGGTCCCTTACTTTGCAACAGAGAGTTGTCCCACTCCAGATTCTTCAGATCTTTCTTGACAAGTTTGGAATCCCAGCCCATGTAGCTGGCAACATCCACAACAGCAAAGCTCAGAGAGTTGCTGTCTTCATCATACTCCCCTTTTTGGCGAGCCAGTGCCATTGCAGCTGCCACTGGTGCATTCTGAAAGAAGAAAAGTCAAAGCATCCCCTTCGGTCTAGGACTGCCAATGAACTGCTTGCACAAGAAGCATTCAAAGCTATGGGGCTCTAGTAACCCGTGTCTTGAAGGTAATGAGGATTTTGAAGCATTATCGGCATACTCACCTTTGATGCAACAGACCTCAATTGTTGCGGACCACCATAGCACTTCAGGGTGCATGTTGCGTACACCTTGTTGAAAACTTGCACCACTTTTTTAGGGTGAAACTCGAGGAAGCATATCAGGGTCAGAATGTCTGTCATGTAAAGAGGTATTTTTTATACACACTAGGTATGAGTAACGACTGAAGCATCATCGTATTTCAAAATGAACTTACTTTCTTCTTTCATGTCCAGTTCTTCAACGGTGGCATCAATAGGTATGGCAACCTCATAGAATGAGACTTGTTTCGAGGTAGTGCCCTCAAAGAAAGGAAGTACACAAAACAATATAATATTGTCTTTCACATCAACATAGCTATATATGTACACCATGACTGTAGGATTATCTTAACAATGCAAAAATTGGCATTTGCTTGCAATTGACTCTAGTACAAAAAAAGAAAACATTTCCTTTGCATGTTATATTTCAAATTTCCAAATTGTAACACACTAAACATTGCAACGGAAGCTTGAAAGTAATGCAAGCAAAGTACACAAACATGAAATCGAGCACCAGTGGCTGCGGTGTCATGCTGCATACTAACGGATCACAACAGAAGATTAACATAACACAGTGCCTTTGGCTTAGTACTGGCAATGCTTCAGTGGAAAATGGGAGAAATAATGGGAAGCTTACATCGTTGCTTGTGCCTTGTTGGCAAGTCAGGGGCGAAAATATCTTCTTGAGCAGCTTTCTGATAACGTGACGATCCGTGGAGTTTGCATATATATGTCTCTTCAGTTCATACTGATCTCTCCCCTGAAGAAGATGTAAACGAGACAAGTTCACCAGTCTCTAGAGTACATTTCCAATGTTTCCTGGCAAATCTGGAAATTCTTCTTATAGTTTGTAAATCAGACGGTACTAAAAAGTTGGCTCCCAAAACTGAAATTACCTCACTCAAAACTTGCCCAGTGAGCCAGAAAGGGACATTACACGGTAACAAAATACCTACATAAGGCAAGGATTTTTGTTCTTTGGGTGCAAAACAAATTAGGAACGGTGCATACCTCAGGCTCCAGGAACAAGTGACAGTGTGACGTGAGGCCATCCCGCCCAGCACGTCCTGCTTCCTGGACATAGCTCTCAAAGCTTTTAGGCATGTTGTAATGAATTATGGCTCTGATGTCCGCCTTGTCAATACCCATTCCAAAAGCGACTGTGGCCACAACAACACGCAGCTTGCCTGCAATCGAAGTATGCCCCATTTAGCACCCCAGTAGTACACCAATGCGGAAGCCTCCACAAGTTGACCGAAAATGCCTCAAGGTATCTTGCCTGTCATGAACTTCTTTTGTATCGACCGCCGTCTGAAAGAAGTCAATCCTGCGTGATACGCTTCGGCATCCCAGGCAAGGTATGACCTCCTACTTTTGGGACCTAAGAAAAACAATACACTGTATAGCGGCAGCTTAGTGCAAATAGCACCGACAGTTTGTCTTGCCTTTTGGGTTTTTCTCCTCCTCCGGGTGTTTCTCGTGACTCTGCAGGCTGGTGCGAATCAAAGAAGCCAGTCGCTCCGTTTCTTCTCTCCGTGTGCAGTACACGATGATGCTTTCGCAGCTTCCAAGGCGGCTGCCTTTCAGCAGTGCTATTAGAGCCTGAATGCACGAAGCCATAACTGACACTTGTGTTTGAGAAGCATATGAAAAGCTCCAGTGAGATTTCCTTCACCCTGATGCTGAAGTGGACGCTTTTGAAACATGCAGAAATGTAATTGTCATTAAAGGAGTGTCCTGTGCAAGAATGACTTCATGTGGATTGACCTTTTAATATATACATATTACCATAGAGTACCGCATATCCGCCCCCCCATTCCACACTAAGCACCCATTCCCAAATTTTTAAGACCTGAGAAAATATGCACAGTACATTTATATGTAAAAGTGATGACCGGACAAGCGCCCATACCCCATTTTTTTGCGATTATCTCCATATATAGAACGGCCGCTTGCCCGGTATTATATGGTAATTGTTTTCATATAATAAATGGACAACAAATTATGCCATTCGTCTCTTACGGAAACATTTTAGCTTTGGAAAGTGTTTTAGTTGCATTAATGTTGCCCGTGACACCCGAGCATTCCTACCCAGAACTACCACAGTATCACCTGCTATGTACAAAACAGGGGAAGGCCAACAAATCTACTAAATGCAAACTTGCAAATGCCAAGTAGTCTGCAAGATAAAAATGCATAACAAATGCAATACTAACAAATATAAACACTTTGTACTTTCAAACCAGTATTCAAAGGAATTCAGCAAAGAGAGGGAACAAACCATGCACTTACTTCGTCACGATACTCCTCCTCAGAGATGGATAAAACCAAATTGTCCGGAATCGCAGGTGTTCCAATGATCCCACTGGTGCAGTCTTCTATGCAAAGGTGTTCTGCAATGCTTAGACATGTGCTCCGAGTAGCTGTAGCTGTAAGTGCCAGGATGCACCTCACTTTGAGCTTGGTTGTCAGAATCTGAAGCAAGAAAATAGGAGGAAAATAAAAGCTTGAGAAGCACAGATCCAACCAAGGGCCTTCCAAAAAAGCTCAAATTTTTCATTTTCAGAGAAGCATTGGGGCATTGTACCTATCAGTCCAATTAATTACAAACCATGTTTGGTTCCATTTTCAGATATATTGAGGTATTTAGCGCACAAGGTAGAAAGAAGAATGACAAGACAGAAAAGAGCGCTACTCACAACTACGTTTACTAATAAAAAGGGAAGAGAAAGAAAACACCTAAATAATCCGCCGCGGACTCGTGCACCTGCCACAGCCCCGTGAATGATAGCGGCTAGTTCATCCAGGCTCGTGCGGGCCCTTTTCTGTCTTGTCATTCTTCTTTCTACCTTGTGCGCTAAATACCTCAATATGTTAGACTACCAACTAGCCCAAATGTCAACTTTACTGCAGTCCATTTTCAGAGCTCAAGATGTTACACTTACAATAAATGTGTGCCCACGCTAGTATAAAACTAAGGGAACGAATTAGAATGTCAAGAGGACACTTTCCAAGGGTGCCTGTAGTGACGGGATGCTGAAGACTTAAAGACACAACGCCCTTGAAAAACAGCTTAAAGGGGCACTGACACATCAAAATCATATTTTTTTTATTGTTTGAAAGGATTGAAAACGATGCCTGGACATTACCCTCAAAATTCGAAACTTGGGAATCTAGTATTTGTGAAATAAAAAAACAATTTCCAAATGCCGAATTGGAAGTTCCCGCACGATCCGCGCCAGTGGAGTGACGTCAACTTTTGAGGGCTCCTGAGAGTGGAGTTTCTTTCGCGCCTCCACTCCGAAATGCGTCTCCGCGACCCAAAGCAAGCAGGGGAGAGCGGGAGAAGGGCGCCGGCGTCGCGGGAACCACCGTACCGGGAAACCGGTTTCCTGCGTGAGTGCTGTGCTGCCTATCGCTTCGAGCAGACGACAGTGCCCCGGCGGAGTCACAACCGAAACTACGATATACACAGATACCAAACCCAGTTGTTTTGATCATTTGACGAGTTCCTTTTCTAAGTCTGATAGGTTGTCGGGAACCTAAAGCCCACTTCGTCCGATTCCCCGACTTACCGATCACCCTCTGCTACATGCGTCGAGCGCTGCCATGTTTTCCGAGGGAGGACAAAAATCCAGAAGGCAACATTACAACGGACTCTGATTTTTGGTATTTCAAAAAGAGGGGCCACAGTGCGTTCGCAACTGCGATAAAAAAACATGTTTTACGATTGCCGTTATTAAATGTTATAGAAATGTCGCCTACAAAGCTTCTAAATTTTATGATTCTTGACGTCACAAATCAAAAGAAGCGAGGAGGCGAAGAGCGGGAGAGGAAAATGCCGAAAATAAAGAGGCGCGCGCGTGCGTAAGAAAATCTTTTTTTTTTGCGATGCTTTTTTTTTTTTTTTGTTTGTCTCTGACTACGTTGTGCATCGTTTCAGACAATAAAAAAAAACTAAGATCTTTGGGGTGTCAGTGCCCCTTTAAGAACTCCCATTCTCCTAGATGTCTTCGCAACAAAACGAACCACGGACTCGCAAAATCCATTCAACACCATAGAATCTCTAGAGGTACCCTGGGGAATCCTCAGTTCCTAGAAAGTAAGTCCGAGTACCCATGCAGCTTTCTTTTTTTACGTGCAATTCCAGGCACTAGTATTTATGACGAGCAAACCTTATACAGTTGAAGGTAGGAGGGACGGAAGTTGTGGGACCACTCCGAGAGGCAGTGGGCTTCGTCGATGCAGGCGAAAGCCACTGGAGGCAGCTGGTTCAGCATGGAACTGCTCTGGACAAGGCTTTCGGGAGACACGAGCAGGAAGTGGATGCTCCTGTCCTTGAGCTGCTCCAGGACCTGCTGTTTCTGGGCGGGCGGCATTCCACTGTGCAGGAAAGCCGCCTTCAGGCACGGTGGCAGACCCACCACCTGCGAGGGAACAAGAAGGGTTGCTGCAACCACGGGGCCATTCCCGGGGACATCATGGAAGGGCATAGGGTTTTGACATATTTTTTGTCGAAGCACTTGTTTACGAAAGATGGCGAATTTTCCGCCGTTTATTTCTGTTCAAAATAAGCAGTGTTTTTCGGAGCTTATTGGTACTGTAAAGAGTGGTGTATCTTGGTGGCTTCCCAAACTCGGACGCCAGAATCGGAAATTAATGGTGAAAGCTATTCACTGGCCAACATCAGTAAAATTAAATGAGGAGATGAAGGGAATCTTAAATGACACACAAAAGACAACCCTTTTATAAGTGGTGGTATCGAAAATTCCAAACATCTCTGCGCAAATATTCTGCGACCGTTTTTAGCTTATTTCAGGCACTAGTTCTCAGCACTTATTTACAGTTCAACCTCGATTTAACTAAGTCACCGGGACCCACTAATTATTTCGTTATATCGGGAATTTCGTAAAATCAAGGAAGGGAGACCTCGCGCATAGGGTGTGCGGGGAATTCGAATTTGTTTGTTAAATCGGGAAATTTGTAAAATCGGGTTTCGTTAAATCGAGGTTCAACAGTATTCCCAAAATGCAATGGTTCAAGTTGTTCAACACGGGCTATATTTGGATTTATCAGTAACCACTCCCTTATATTCCAATTGCTATAACCAGAACCAGTGAAAGTATGATACAAACTTCCATGGGAAAATGATTAGTACACGACACAAGCTGATACATATTGTTCAGGGTGTCCCCAAAAAACTATTTAAGGCATTTCTTTCACTTTAAAAGTAAACTATACATCGCCGAACGATCATTCTCCACCCAATTGTAGCACTAGATGTTTCAACGAGATGCGAAAGTTTCAGAACTAACCGTTATCTTATTCAAAAGTTATAAGTGATTTTCTGAAATTTTCAATGGGAAAAGGCAGTCGACAGAGCCCTCAAATACATGGAGTTTCATGGCACCAGTTACCAAAAACGGGTCAAAAATGGGCCCTATTTTCCCATTGAAAATTTCCAAAAATAACTTATAACTTTTGAACAAGATAATAGTTAAAGGAGCTGTGCAACGATTTCTAGTGTTGAAAGAATTAAAGGGCCCATGAAACGATTTTTGGGTTGGGATAAATCATTTTAGATTGGGATTTTACTAATAGCAGATCGTTCAGTGGGCCAAGAGAAAAAAGGTAGAAAGTCAAAAGCCTGACTTTCAGTGCGAAAATTTGAAAACACAGCGGACTATTTCGTACCTCCTCCCCTTCGTAACCTCTCTGCCTTTTCACTGTGATACATCCGCGGTTCCAAAAGCGCGTCATCGGGTCCAAACTGACATCACACGAAACCGGACCTCATTTAGTCCCTTCACCCCTAAGCTGACATTGTGGTGGAAGCTACGCGCTTGCCAGACCAATCAGCCGCCTCCGTTTCATCACCTGACCTCATTCTCTGCAGCCACATTTGCCACGCTCACGTGGCAAAAGTGTGGCTAGCCCAAGGAGCACGTAGCTTGCACAGCACTGTCAGCTTAGGGGTGAACGGGGTAGGGAAAGAAACTTTTGTCTGAATTTTGAGTGACGGGCTAATCTTCTAGGGGGACAATGGCTCTCTTCGGGTATACAAACCAGGTTCCGAGCAAGAGGGGCCTCCCTTATTTTCGTCTTCTTGAACTGTTTGGTGGAATGCGCGATTTATGAGTTGAGGAGGAAAGCGAAACAGGAAAAGGTTGGAAAAGCATTTCATGACCCCTTTTACATCTTCTACTTTTGACATTCGTCACATTGACACAAATGACAGAAAACACACCCGTTTTCATCGAAATGTTGAGATTCTGCCGCGTAATAGCGAGACAAAAATGAGAATATTCCTCGACCTGCAGCCGCGAGCGGCGGCCATGAGAAACACGCGGCATGACGTCAATGGGGTTCTCGCAGAAAGGTAGCAAGTTGCGCAAATACCTGCTCGATGAAAGGTATTTTCTCTATAAATCTTGTCGTTCCAACATAAATATAAATGCGTCAAAAACCTGGTATCATTGACAAAACTTTTATTACACGGAGTTTTAGTGGCGCCATCTATCCTAGGTCCACAAAACCGTCAGCTCTATCTACTACCGCGAACAGCCACCAGAAGCTGGAGGTGGAGGGGGGCAGGGCCGGACGGGTATGGCCAGGCCCGGATGAGACTTTCCTCCTTTCACCATATTGTTCGCACTGCGCCCACCAGCATGTGGTCACACGGTCGCGAGCGGGTGAGTTCTCGCTGCTCACTGATGGCTCTAGAGAAGTTTACCTGAACCCCGCACCTACCCCATCGACGTCACTGCGCACGTGACCCGGAAGACGATGTACGAGTTGAGAGGTGGCAAAAACCTGGATCTTTTTCATTTTTTAAAATAAAAACTAAGGTATCCAGGCAAATCTACAAATTTACAAATATTAGAAGCCTCATTAAAAAATGAGACGACCTGTGTTCTATTGTTGATTCAACAGCTGCTGATGTTGTTGTTTTAACGGAAACTTGGCTCACTGGGAGGGTGCGTGATTGCGAACTTTTTTATGGACCTAAAAGGTACAATATTTACAGGAACGATCGGCAAGATAGGTGCGGTGGGGGCGTTTTAGTTGCCATTGCAAGTCATATTGATTCTTTTTGTTTAAACATAGCTAGCGATTTAGAAATAGTTTGGGTATGTCTTGGCACTAATCACATGAAGTGGATCATGGGAGTTTGCTATAGGCCGCCCTCGTGCTCATCATCTTTCATTAAAGCTTTGCAGGACTCCATAAGTCTGGTCGTCATTCGCTTTCCCAGTTCGCCAATTTTTCTGTTGGGAGATTTTAATTATCCTGATATTGTGTGGACAGGTAATAACCCACCAACAGGCACACCCTCATCTGCCTCATCTGAATGCAATGATTTTGTTGGCCTCTGTTTAGATTTTTGTTTCACGCAATTAGTTACTCAACCAACCAGAGTGACCCCATTGACGGCGAACGTATTGGACCTTGTTCTCGCTACTCATCCTGAACTCGTTTCACCCATCTCCTATCTTCCAGGGCTTAGTGATCATTCCATATTGCATTTTAATGTAAAAGCAGCAGTACCAAAACCATCAACTAATGTAAAGCAAATTCGAGATTACGCCAAAGCTAACTTTAATAAAATTAATCTTGACCTTGCAACTTTCCTCGATGAATATTTATCACTCTTTTCAAGTCGCTCAGTAGAAGAAAACTGGAACTTTTTCAAAACCGAAGTTAATAAACTAACAAATCAATACATTCCCTTAAGGAGAGTTATCGAAAACTCTCAGTCACCCTGGTTCACCAGAGCCTTAAAACGCTTATCAAACAAAAAAAAAGCGTCTATTTCGCGCCGCAAAATTATCCACGTGCGAGCACCGTTGGTTGCGTTATCGTACTGCTGCTGAAGTGTACAAAAAAGCAATTGAAAACGCCAAACTAGAATTCATGACTCATAGCCTACCCGCAATGTTGATCAACAATCCTAGACAATTCTGGAATACAATAAACAAAAAGACGCAGTCATCTATCACACTAAAAACCGCAAATGGTGATTGTATAGCCAGCGATGAGTGTTTAAATTTATTAAATAGTACTTTTGCAGATTCATTCCCTACTGATAACATGCACGATTTCCCTTCGCTAGAGAGTGCCGATTACTTGCCCATGGATCCTCTTTTTCTTGATTATGTTGGTGTCGGTCATACAGTATCATAGATAAACTCAAACTGTCATCTTCAGCAGGAGTGGATGGTATTAATTCCAAGTTTTTACAAAACACTAAACAATACTCCTCAATTATTTTAACAAAATTATTTGAACAGTCTATACACGACGCTGTTCTCCCATCAGACTGGAAGGTAGGGAAGGTGGTACCCATTCACAAGGCTGGAGATAAATATTCCCCTCTTAATTATCGTCCGATCTCAATAACCAGCATTCCTTGCAAACTTCTTGAACATATAATTTTTTCTCACCTTGTCAACTTCTTAGAATCTAACAACTTCTTCAACAATGCCCAACACGGTTTTCGAAAATCATTTTCATGTGAAACCCAACTACTATCTTTCACGAATGACCTACATCACATTCTGGACCGAGGATCCCAGGCGGACTGCATTTTCCTGGATTTCGCCAAAGCATTTGACAAAGTTTCTCACAATCTTCTGCTTCTAAAACTTTCCAAACTTAACATAGACAATAACGTTCTCGCATGGATACAGTCTTTTTTAACTCAACGGTCTCAATTTGTCACTGTGAATAACAATAACTCCTCTTTTGTCAAAGTTGCGTCAGGGGTTCCCCAAGGGACAGTCTTAGGGCCGTTGCTATTCTTAATTTATATTAACGACCTACCCACTAGTGTCTCTTCGTCCGTGTCTCTGTTCGCTGACGACTGTGTCCTTTACCGTGAGATTCTCAATCATAATGACACCTGTATACTCCAATCAGACATTAATGCTATTTACCGTTGGTCTGACTCGTGGTCTATGAAGCTTAACACTAACAAATGCAAGGTCATGCGTGTGTCTCGCCAGTCTCAGGACTCTCCTAACTATTTCCTTAATAATGCTCATCTAGAACCGGTATCTTCGTACAAATATTTAGGCGTACATATAGCTTCTAACCTTTCATGGAAAACACATATTCAGCATATTTCAGCTAACGCTAACCGCATGTTAGGTTACATCAAACGAAATTTTTCATTAGCACCTGTCTCACTGAAATTAACTCTTTACAAAGTTTTAATTCATCCCAAGTTAGAATATGCAGCTTCTGTCTGGGATCCCGGACTAGTCACTCTCATATCTACATTGGAAGCCGTTCAGAACAGATCCGCTCGTTTCATCCTCACAAACTATCACCGCACCGCTAGCGTCACCTCTATGAAAACAACTCTCTCATTACCACCTTTATCTCTACGTCGTAAAATTTCTCGTCTTTCCCTATTCCATAAAATATATCACCGTAATTCTTTCCTGCGCGACAAAATAATTGCTCGGCCTGTCTATGTTTCCTCCCGTCTTGATCATCAACATAAGGTGGGCATTCCTAACTCTATCACAACCACGTTTTATTCATCTTTCGTTCCCCGCACATCCCAGGAGTGGAACCACCTTCCCCGGTCGATCGCCATTATCACGGACTCTGAGCTCTTTAAAAGTACAATAACTAATTACTTTATTACTGAGTGTGTCTAAATATGTATTATGTTATTTGCATTAACCTTCTTGTTGCTCTCCCCCTCTGTAATGCCTTTGGGCCCTGAGGGTATAATAAATGAAATGAAATGAATCTGTTTTCTGTAGTTCACTTCAGAAGTGTCAGGCAATAACTTCCCCAATTATTTAAGCAAAGCCCTGAAATTGCTGCACAGCTCCTTTAAAGGGACACTGACACCCCCCAAAAAAATTTGTTTATTTTTTGCCAGGCGCTTCATTATGGTGTCGGAGGATTACCCAATTAATATTTTGCTACAGAGTAGCGTATTTTTTTAATAAAGCCAAAAGTCGCAACTGCTCGAAACCGAAACCGAAACCCGACGGAGGTCGGAGAAGTGGAGAGAAGAGAGTGAGTGGCGGAAGTCACGTGGCTACACCCGTCCATGCGTTTTTTTTTGTGTGTTTTTTTTTTTTTTCTCCTCTCCGTAGCAGACGACACGACATGGCGTGCGGGAACTGCTTGCCCTGCGGTTCTTTTGCAGTTATGCTTGTTTCGCTCGTTGTTCTGTACTCCAAGATGAGTTGTTTTGTACATTGAGGAGTTGGAGATGAGTAGTGAGTGCCCGTAGTGAATTTGCATGATCGGCTCCGAAAAGAATACACCCAAGATGTTGCGTGAAGAGCTGGCTCACATGTCCTGCATCCGAAAAAAAGTGGCATTGTGCGACAGAGTTTCCGAAAGATCAACGGGATCGGGACCAATGGCTGGCTGCAATTCCTCTAGAGCATTTACGGGCACCTCGGAAAGCGGACGCTACCTGACTTATATGCTCCTTGCATTTTGTGGAAAGTGATTACATTGAGTTCGCAGGTGTCAAAACGAAAATCCCATACCATTTAATTCAGCGAAGTATCGTCCACAACATTTGTTTGTTATTTTTTTGTTTGTTTCTTCAGTGATGATTGTAAAAAAGAGAAAAAGATATGTAAACATCAAAAAATGTTTGAAAAAAAAAACTAATAAAATTTCACGGGGGATCGAACCCGGTCCTACCGCGTGTGAACCGGACGTCTTTCCCACTGAGCTACTGCGGCATCTCAATACTGGCGGATCTCTTTCCTTAGTAATAATTCAGCCGGTAAACTAAGTTGGAAAGTTTGCTGTCGATTTTTCTCTAGCAAAAGCACTCCCGGGTCGAAGTCGGGAAGCACCACGCTTTGGGGACATTCGCACCTAGTAAAGAAATCGTACGCGTGCATATTCAACTCGAAGTAGACACGTCGTGCTTGACGTTTGCGCGAGCGATGTCTTCAGCCACGAGAAGGGAGCGACGGCCCGGCGACGTCTTCGTGCAAATCGGCTTGGTGGCCGGGCGTGTCGTACGGGATGAATACCAATTCTTTTGATCAGTCCCAAATTTCTCTTTTAACGGTAGACAGAATTCGCCAGTACCGCGAACGACAGTTCTGAAATAGAGGTCCCACGCCCGTCGTCCGCTGCCATCGCCGTCCCCGCGAGACCCACGATACGCGAAACGACGAACGCACAGAATGCTTCCGGTTGTCTGTGGAACTTTTTTTTTCAATCAACGTATTTACAGCTTTTTAGAAGCCAAAAAAAATAGGTTTCATATTTTTTTCTATTTTTAATATTGAGTGTGTGCCTTCAGTGACCCACGACTTTGATTAAATTTGGTGGTCGCATCGATACCTTAGAAAACGGCCCGTGACCGCGAAAAAGAGAGTGAGCGAGACTCGAACCGGCCAATTCTTGATCGGCGGTTTTCGGGCGGAAAGAAACCGAATTTCGAGCCGCAAATTCTGTTCTGGGTAGTTGAGCCCTCATATGTCACGTACAACTAAAAACCTCGGCGAGCATAAATACCCTGTCAGTGTCCCTTTAATGCTGAAACTTTGGCATCTGATTCGGACCCCTAGCACTACACATCTGGGCAGAGAATGAGCATTAGGCAATGCATAGTTAATTTTTGCGATGACAAAAACACTGTAAAGTTTTGGGCAAGACGTGCTGTAGTTACTGATGGGCTTTTTGCTTTTAATTTATAGTCTCAGTAGTGTCATTTGGTACACAGAATATTCTAGGGAGGGGTATGTGCAAGATACATTCCCAAAACTTGTGATGGTGGTGAGCTTAAAGGAGCGACGCAACAATTTTTGTACTTTGCGCAAATACCGCTTAAAACGGATCCATAACGCAAATGACCTATGAAACACGCGTTCGTTCTTCACCCCACGCAATTGAAGTCCCAGAAAAAAATTTAAAAAAAACGAGCAGCGTTCACCCCCTCAACTCGCAGCCAGAACAAACGGCCACGTGATCTGGAGCCGATTATATGCCGCCAATGTTGATCATAGCCACGCGCTGGGGTTGGCAAAGCGCAGGACACGCGCTGAGTTCCAGACATTGTTATGGTTCGGCTGTTGTCGTCGTTGCAGCGATTGGACACGGGTCGCAACCCGAATGCTTCTCGAGCTAGCAATTGTCACGAGCCCAAGTCGAGTGCCCATGCAATGCTCGGGTCCAATCTATGAACCGCATTCAAATATCGTCACTTGGGTGTACTACAATCCCCGAGTTACGTCATCAAATTTTGCAAAGGAGAGATTGAATGAAAATGATCGCTTTTGTCCTTGAAATTACACCGCAACAAAGGACTTTCTTGGCCAATGGCGTTGCGTGTGAGTATCCTTGAGTCCCAGGTGTGCCAGTAAGCTCGTGTAGAGAGAAAAACATTCCAATTGAATATCGTTGCACAGCTCCTTTAAGACTCCCCATGATATCCAAAGTCCCTGCGTTCAATACGACTCACTTGATCCTCCATGAGAGAAATTAATGGAGACACCACCAGAGTGATGCATTCTCTCTCTTGAGCATAAAGGTAGGCGGGAATCTGGTAGCAGAGGGATTTTCCAGATCCAGTTGACGACACCAGTAGTGTTGACATGCCTGTAGATTGAAGAAATTAGCAAGCAAAACACCAAAACATATGCCGCCCAGGGAGCGTGACTGCTAGCAAAAGTAGGGATTCCATTTGGATAGTACGCCACAATATGGGTTGCACAATAAAAAGTATGTGCTTTAAAATTACCATTTATTCGGCCCTATTAAATACTCCTACTCGTTTTCACCTAAAGAAAAAAAGGAAGTTTTTTTTATTTGTTCATACTTCATACAAGATATGGTTGTCAGAGGAAGAAAGGATGCTTTTGGTGTTTGAACCCTGCAAGCCTCGATAAGGTAACATATATCTAATCTAAAATGCACCCTACCATATATCTTACTCCTCTCGTAAAGCCAGAAATCAGTAATACTACGAGAGGAGCCAGACCTTTTTTACTATGGTTCCTGAGGTGAAAACAAGTATAGTTGATCATTCTGGCCCTACATATTTTGTTTTTTGTTGTTTGATTGTAACATACTTTTGATCATTCTAGAGCCCCTACTAGATATTTTATGTTGCTTAGGTGATCATCATATTCTGGAAACAATAGCTTACTAGAAAACAAACTATAGATGTAACATGAAATAAAACTTCACCTACTGTAGGTCAGAGAAATATAAAATTTTATCTGAGTGAGCAAGTTTTACTTACCAGACAGTATCCTCATGATAGCAGCCTCCTGACCAGGTCTGAACTTTGAAAACCCCATCTTGTGCAACGTCTTGAAAACAAACTCTGGTGTGTCTGAAAACCCACAACAGCAGCCGAGTAAGACGTCACTTGATTCCCCCGCACAAAAGAAATCCAAATCAATGAAGGTGGATCATGTACCTGGAAGTTTGCCTTCCACACTGACTTCTAAAAGAGGTTGGACTGTTGAAGAAGCATTTTCAGAATGAAAAGCCTGACTTTGGGTAGGCATCACATCATCTGTACCAGAGGCTCCTTGATCTAGTGTTGTATCATCTGAGGAAAAAATGGTAAAACATACACTGAACAACTAAAACTTACAAGGCTAGCCCTTTCTGACTTATGATTTAAAGATCCCTTTTGAAAGTCACGTGTCAAATGATAGAAGGTATGTCCCACTGAACAATGCTGGAACAACTGACACCATGGTACATGCAAGTCTCAAACTACCTTAGATGACAAGGATAACTGCAAAGGCTGCAAGTGCAAGCAGGCAGCTTTGACTTGAGCTCCTGCTGCACAAGTGCTCATGTAGCTGAGGCACAATTAAATGCAAGGAGCGCATGCTTGTGTCCACCGTTGTACAGGAATTTCACAACTACCAACAGAGGGCATTTTCAAAAGGTGTCTATGGCATGAAAGAAACATAAGCCATATTTTGAAAACTATCCTTTTGTACAATACCCTTCATATGGCAGACCTAAAAGCTATGTCCCTTCACTGACATCTTACCTCGGCTAAAAACTTGGGTAGGTGTTGCCGACTGATCCCCTTGCAGCTTCACACCACGTGCCATTTCAGCAGCTTCTTCCAGAGTTGGCAAATGGAAAACCTCTTGCTCGTTCTGTTCAGCAGCAGCGTCAAGCTTGATCACTGAAATAAAATAACCAACCTTCAAGCCTACTGACACTGAACATCCTAGTTTAAAACGAGCAAGAGGCATTAGGTTATTCAGTGCTGCAAAAAGCCAATGTTGTCTAGAACACAAACATGTTTTGCATTTGTCCCCGTTTTGCTGCTGCAGTCTTAGACTTAAGTACCCAGAAATTTATCGCAACATTGATAATTTCTTTGAAGTGAACAATAGAAAACCACAGGAGCAAAATATCTAAAGCAGAAACAGCCACACACTGACTGTGAAATCAAGAGCACCAGAGGCAACAGACAGCCTTTGTAAGCCCCTTCAGTGACATACAAAATTAAAAACAGCATGACATACAAAATTAAAAACAGCAGGTTTTGTCTTTAACCTTTGCTCCTGGTTAGATAGTGTAAATTGCTGGTTGCTGTTTCTGGTGCAAAGCTCATACTGTTTACATTAGTATAAGTGCAGACAGGTCACATCCTTGTATGGCACTGAAGCACCAATACAGAATATAATTTAAAAAACATGCCTGCATTTCCTGGACATGATCTTGCCCAATGGCCAAGTAGGCCACATTTGAAGCATGTCGACGTTGCCTTCCCACTCGAGCCAGTTCTGAATGTCCCTCCTGGCTGATGTGTGTTGCCTTTTGCAGCTCCATTTTTTCTTTGCTTCCACTCCTTGAACTTCAGTTTTCTAACGTTCAACTTGTGATGGCCACGGGAAAATCTTTTCCTTTTCAGATCGATCCGGACGAAGTTTTCATTGACTGTGCCCGCTTCCACCCGTCTGAAAAGGTTTACGAGAAGAGGCATGATTACAACATTACACTTTCAGAGTGGTGCATGCCACATGCTGACGAGGTTGGAAGGGCTGTCATTTTAGTGGAATTGCAAAGTAGAGGAAAAATTTAGACAACTTTAGAAGTAGATTTTACCTTATTAAATCATTACCATTACTAAACACAACTTCTAGTAAAATAGCATAGCATAAGTAAGGTATAAAAGATATTTGTGGGTTGGCAGTACATCTCTAAAAAAAAAGAGGTATGGTGATAACTCAGAGGGCATAACAATTTCGCCCACCAGTGGGTTCCAGCATCTGCACTTAACGGCTCACTCAACTGGTACTACCAACCTTCACCAGATTGTAATAGAGTCCGACATGCTCAAACCCAAAAGCTTTGAATGTAGTGGTTCTAAATGTAACCACTACCTTCGTGAAACCCTTTAGTATCAATGACTGGCCAATGAAATCATAGGGCTATCAGATTTTACAAACCTCTGAAGGCTGCTCTTCACAGCCCTCCTAGGTGCCACCCTGCTGCATTTTCCAGACGGCACATCATCCTCGGCTAGTGTGCGTTGAGGTACACATTGTTTTGTCTTAACTTTTTGGCCCTTCGGCTCCACAGAGACTTCGCCCGTCGGCTCCTCGGTTAGCGCAAGCTCAGAAGTCACTTGTTTTGTCCTCAGTCTTTTGCGTTTTGGCCCCTCAGAAACATCTAGCTCCGAGAGCACCTCTTTTGGTTTCAATATTTTTCTTTTCGGCTTTTCCGCGGCTCCTTCCCTTGGAGCACGCCGTCGTTTTTTGGTTTCCTTAGGTTTCGGAGAATCGTCCACAAATTCAAACACGGAACCTGCTAAGCTTTTCACCTGTTCCTTATCCCCGGCTCGTTTCTGTTGTGGACTCGTTTTGGTGCGTCTGCTACGCAAACTACTGTGCAATTTCGCTGGTTTGTCTGCCAAGGAGGCTTCTTTCGAGTCTCCCTTGACATCAAGCTGTGCCACAGGCGGTGTCACAAAAAGCCCATCCCTCTTCCCCACTTGGATGGCACTTGGTCGCGCAGTATGCAAATGCTCAGAGTGCTCGAACGGAACGTCGGGCCTTTCAGCAACTGGAGATTTCAGAAACACCTCGTCAAAGTCATCCTGAGACATGCTGGACCACTGTGAGCTAGTGCCGACTTTGCTCTTAACGTAAACTTTGTCAGAAACGCTGGAGCTCCTAAGGTTGGGAAGCAGCCGAGACACGACAGGCAAAGACGACTGGGAAGGCGTCACAAAAACTTCGTCAGTCTGACTGTTCCTAGAGAGCCACGCATCATCGAGGGACTTTTTATAGTACAGTGTTTGCGGTATCGACGGGCCCTTGACAGGCGAGACCACAGCCCTGCAGGAGGCACTTCTGGAGTTATCTTTGACGGCATCTGCAGTTTCTTCCCTGTGACACTGGCCTGCAGCAGTTTGGGGTACTGTGCCACATGTTAATGAACACCTTTCACCAGCCATTGTAGCCCCTTCACTTTGGCATCGCTGCTTTGCAGAAGTAGCCTCATCTTGTCCACTTTTCGCTGGCTGACTAAGGGAGTTGGTACTTTTTCTTGGAAAACACTGGAACTGAAGGGGAAAAAAAAAAAAAAAAGGAAGCATGTAGCAGGAAAGTGGGTACAGCCACACCAATTTACTCCAGAGTAAAGTGAATGAACTTACATCAAAGTCAAATGAAGCAAACAGCTTTGCCTTGATTTTTCTCTCATAAATAGAGGTAGAGGCCACCTGCCCAGCATCCTTTGACACCGGCGTCTTCGTTTTGTTTAGTGAATGGCTCCAAACATTGTCTTTACCCTCAACACAAACCTGCAAAATGAATTTTAAAAAAAAAAAGTTAAGATTTCGGAAAGCTTTATAGATTGAAGATAAAGAAGCCCCACTTACTGACGGTTTAGCTTCCGAGCTGGATCTTTTTGTTTTCCAGTATTTAATATACGCTCCTGCAATAAATAGAACAGAAAACTCGCCCAGTTAAGGCGACATCTCTGTAGGAATACCTCATTAATAGAAGCAAAAGCGTGTCATTTCTACCACAAAGAGTTTGGTGTCATGAAACAGCCGACTTCCAGTAACTAGTGTAAAGTTCACTTCACCTAGAACATCAGGTGGAGACTCCTTGATGTCAGCCTGTAACGGAAAAATGACTTTAAAGCATGCGAAGGGGAGAAAATAACACAACTTTGGCGTATATATATATGAGAAAAGTCCCAGCGAACAACTCGATTGAGGTCACCGGGCAAGCTTTACCACAACATAAAAATATCAGTTACATGGTTCCAACCGTGCGTAGGCACCATGCAGCTACATTTGGGGATCGCACACACGAGCTTTTGGTTGGGCATTCTAGCATCGGAGTGGTGTTTGAACTCGGACATCCATTGCGTGAGTAGACAGCTGGTCTACGTACGGAAAGCCATACAAAAAATATGAAACAATACTAACAGAAGTAGGTTTTCGTCCAAACTCCGTTGCAAACTTCTTCTCCCATGCTTTTATCTTGGCCTTGAGCTCTTGCATATTGTTAAGCGAAGTCATTATACCGGATTCACGTGAGACAAGTTGTCAGGTCAGTCAGTCAGGACAGACAGGAAATCAAAGGAAGGGGGCCCGGCAGCATATTGATAACGTGCAGGCGATACACCATGCCATTTTTAAAAGTTTCGCGTAAATACCGCGGGAAAGGCGGGAAAGAAAACCGGAACCGGATGCCCTCTCTAGAGGCTCCTGGCTACGGCTCCAATTTCGACAACAAAATCGATTGAAACAAAATCCGTTAAATTCGTTTTTCTGTTATTTAATGTTGGTGGAATTATTTTTGTTGCGACTAGTTATGAAATTTATGCAAAGGTGCAAGCGAGCTGGACAAGAATGCCGAAAATAATCCCTGGATCCGACTGGTTCGGGTATCGAACCCGGGTTCGATTCGGTTCGATAGCCGGACCAGGCAGATTTTTTTCGGTCGCTCACCAGTCACCTAGCTGTGTTTGGAGATTTATGTTTTGTCCTTTGTCCCTCTTGTTCCCCTTCTCCAGGGAATATTTTCGTCATTATGAAATCTCCCGGCTTCTGCTACGACTACGATTGGCTACATGACTCTGTTGAGTTTCAGTTTCGTTGTCGCTCGTGTAACAAAAACAATTCTTTTTTTTTTTTTTTCTTCATTGTTGCACATGCTTATAGTCGGTGACAGGTCAAGAACAAAGTGTAAGCTCCTCCCACCCCTTTGCACTTTAGTAGTGCGAACGCTGGAGAGGAGTTCTCGATAATTTACAGAAAGGCTAAGACTCATTCATATATAAAATAAGAAACAGTCACCGGTTTCTTCGTTCCGAAGAACCCTAGGCGACGGATTCGACGGGAGGCATAGAAACACTGATCTATTGCTGGATCGCGCTTTACCGCTCCGCGAACGCAGTCACCGGACGGCCATCTTGGGACACGGATAAATCGGCCCTTTGGAGCGCTGCGGAGGCTGGGCGGCAGCGTGATGAAGACACGTTTTCTGCTCATTCGTTGTCATTCACCGAAGTTGCTTTTTTTTTTTTTTAAGCCTAATGTAAACGGTGAGAACTGCCTTTGAGTACACGTGACAATTTTTACGAAGGCGCAGCACCGCAGGAAAATCACAACTCGTCGTACTCAAGTCTCGCCGGTCTCGCAACGCGATCAAAGCTTTCTTGGCACGCCGAAGTGCTGCAACGGCTCTGTGCCTTCGCACGCTTAGATACTTATCAAAAATCGACGCCGTGGGAAATTTTTTAAGGTGTGTCGCGCACAGGTGTCTTCTGGATTGCCCAGCTGCTCCGGTGAGTTGCTATCGATAAAGGAAAAAAATCAGTAATTGCTATTATGCACGTTAACCATTGCTATGTTCAAAATCTACTCGTGTGGATCACATGAGAGCACAAATAGAGCAACGCTGAGGAACAAAGGTAGGTTTTCGAACGCGAATAGAGCAACTTGCACTATGTATAGCGCGTATTGTTAATCTATGCCTCAGTCACACGGTCTTTCCAATAAAAAATGCAGGTGGCGCGGGTCACAGTGCTTTTGAAGAAGGGTGACAGGGATGGCATGGGAAACTACAGACCAGTATCCATTCTACCAGTGCTCTCAAATGCATTCGAAAAAAAAGTTATTCTAAACGATTTAATAAATTTGAAACAAAACATCGCCTGCAAATTGACTCCCAGTACGGGTTCCGTAAAAACCTCAGTACAGAGCTTGCTCTACTTGCGCAGAAAGAGCATATTCTATCTGAATTAGAAAATGGAAAACTAGTCTTAGGTCTGTTTGTAAACTTTACTAAAGCCTTCGACCATATTTATCACGAACCTCGCATACAAAAACTAGACCGATATGGTGTCCGGGGAATAGCGGCATCCCTTATCCAATCCTATTTCCAATATCGTAGCCAAATCGTTTGCTTGGGTGACTCTCTATCGGGCCCTCTACAAGTTTCTTCTGGCGTACCACAGGGCAGCATTTTGGGCCCCTTTCTTTTCAATATGTATGTAAATGATATCTTAAGTATTTATTCTATTGCTAAATTTATTAATTACGCAGACGATACGAGTATATTTTTAGCCGGCAAATTACCCGATGAAATAATTGACCATGAAAATTCAACGCTAATCCCGCTAGAGGACTGGACAAAAAATAAGGGTTTAAAAATATATGTTGAAAAGACAAAAGCAATTTTATTTCGTGGTAAAAACAAGAGTATAGCCACAAGCAAAACAATTACTTTAAAATCTGCTCCTGTCGAAAGCGTGCCCCTTTTCAGGACATGAGGCGTAATATTTCAGAAAACACTGTATTGGGATCGTCATATAAATTCAGTGATAACTCAACTGTCGCAGATACTCGGCGTGACATATCGGAATAGGTATATACTCCCACGCAACATTATGATATTATATATATTTCACTATTTTCTTCGAGACTCAAGTACTGTCAGTTAGTTTGGGCTTCGTCCACACAAGAAAATCTGCTGAAAATACATATATTACAATGAAGTTTGTTTCTGGGAATGGTAGAGAAGGTGCCCAATCACTATCACACACAATTCCTATTTACGAAGTATAATGAAATGCCGATAACAAACATACATGATTTCCGCCTCTGCAAGCAATATAAGCAAGAAACGGGAAATAACATTTGCCTTTTAAGAAACTTAGCAAAACTAAGAACACATGTTACCGTACACAACACGCGAAAAAATGAGCCTTGGAAAATACTTACACCTACAGAACAACATACGGCTTAGAAACAGAGACGGATGCAGGAATTTTCTGAGGGGGGGGGGGGGGGGGGGGGGGGTCAGGTGTTGGTCAGCGTAATGTTCAGGAACCCCCCCCCCCCTCTCCCTCGTTTCACGCCCTAAATTTTGCACATACAGAAATCAAGAGGGGGGTCAGGACATCCGGACCCCCCCTCTAAATCCGCCCCTGCTTAGAAATGGTGCAAAACAAATTACCAAGAATATTAAATAAATTACATGACAAAAATATCCAACCAGAACAAATCTCTTTTAATAACTCTTTCAGAATTCTTTAAACTGTTATACTGGAAAAGGAAAAGGGGGTACAACCTGTTTCCGGAAACTCCTATTAGTTCTTTTTTTTTTTGTCGTTTTCTATGTGTTAATTTTATTTCTATTATGTACAGTTTATTATATTTTGTGTGCAAAAAGACTCGTCACTATGTGTCCATTTTCAATTGTGCTTTTATTATGTATAGTTTCATAGGCGCAGACTACGGGGGGGGGGGGGGGGGGGGGGGGGGGAATCGGGGGTCGTGCCCCCCTGGTAAAATCCAAAGGGGGGGGGGGGGAGCAGAGCCCCCCCCCCCCCCCCCCCCCCCCGGGGACTAGATCATTACCGAGATGCTGTTTACGTGCCATGTAACGAGCTTCTAGTAGTGGCATGTAAACAAAATAACGCACACAGCGACGGACACATAGCGAAATACATAGGCTGTAAAATGTACCCCGTAAAATAAACTACTGATAATTGCCGATGTAAAAAAATTGCGCGGAAAAGCATCCCCCCCCCCCCCCTTTTTTTCCGGAAAATGGAGAAAGTCTACGCCGCTGTATAGTTTATTATCGCTTCTGTGTGAAAAGATTCTTCACTATATTCCACTGTTATTTTTATTACGTATAGTTTATTTTCTGCGTTATCTTTGCTCAGAAGCTGCCAGTATGGGGGCCTTCGGCTTTGTCTGTCTATTTGACAGTTTTCTTCTGCGGGCCTCTTGCATCATGCATTTTTAATGCAAAATAAACATTCATTATTTATTACTATTATTAATATAAAAAATATAAAACGGCGAGTTATTTTTTTTTTAACGTACATGGTCGTTTGCAATTTGTCTCCGTCGTCGTACACCCGCCCTACCCCTCTTCCGTCGCCACTGGATCAAGGGCGATTCACGCAGCTGCCTGAGTCCAACCGAGTGCGGTTGCAACGGCTTGCAAGCTTAATCCGTTTACGGGTTGCTATGGCGACGTGGTCTATGCAAGCATTGCGGTAAGCGACCGTCGTTTTTGCAGGAGTACCGACGCGTACGCGCCGTTGTGCCTCTCCCCTTGGTGGCAAAATATTCTAAGAAAAACTGCTCGCAAAAAGTTGAAATATAAAATATAGTAATTATTTTCAGATCGTTGTGTCGATGCGAAAGAGTTGCTGTGGATTTTTTTAGTGAAGACAGACAGACTCATAATAGTCGAAAAAAGAACATAATGTTAAACATTTGCGTAGGCCCCATGTTGATAAAAGTAAGCGTTGACAAGAAACAATAACCCGAAAAAGGTTTACTGTTTCTTACTTCCATTTGATGCATTGACTTCTGATACAGTCGACTTTTATGTTTTCAACTTTGACATAATTAATAACATATTTGGCACAAAAAAAAAGTAGATCAGTGGGTGTGAAAATTATTTGACCTTAATTGCTGGAATACAATTGGCATGTGTATAAACAGCACAGGATAATAAATGTGTTAACAAAGCCTCTGATCGCTGTGTGTGTGTGTTAATAAATTTCCTCTGCCCCCCGTAGTCTGCGATGCGCGCACTTCATCTTAGGCCTAAGCTTTTTGGCTCTCCCAGTCCTCTTCAGGGGAGTAGACGCACCGATATGTTTTCAGTGTGATCTAGGCCTCAACCTCGATTCTGAAAATATCAAATTCCTTCTTTCGTGGGTCATCACCTGACACCCGTTTTTCTCTCTTTTTTTCGGATTGTAGCAAGGGTACAATGGAGAATAACGATCATGATGATTTAAGTGATGATTTAAACCGTGATATTATTCCTCCGCAAAAATACCCCCCCCCCCCTTTTCCAAATAAAAAGAAAAACAAAACAAAATATATATGTGCTTATATAGGGAAAGGGGGGGGGGAGGGGGGGAGAGGGGGGGGGGAAGGGGGGGGGGAAGGGGGGGACGCAGGCAAGCTGGTGAATGACAGCCACAGTAAACCCGGTAAACCCGGCACAGAGGAATAATAATAAAACAGAAAACGCACCGAACAACAAAGTCTTCGTTGTTGCCCCCCTCCCTTTTCTTTTTTACTATTGTATTTTACTTTTTTTTTTTTTTGGGGGGGGGGGGGGGGAGTTTATATGCTAGCATGCTACATTTTAACTCCATTCTCTTTTTCTTTTTTTTTTTTTTAGGGGGGTGAGAGACCAGTTTTCTCTTCACCATGTTTTTATCAGGTT